AATCTTAACACAATAATCCAACACACACTTGATCTTACCAACAGACCTCGGTATAAACTTTACAATAATTTAAAATGTGCATCTCTAACTCTGACAACGTTCCCTCCACCCTCAGATCTGTGGACCATCTTTCTCCAATCACATGAATGTTTTTCATTTTCTGTTGTTAACAAGATTTCAGCCAAGGTCTGGCTCGCTCTTAAGGATGGGTCATGCTTTTTGAATGTTTAATTGTTAAAATTTAAAGTTGTTTTTATTGGTGCCTGGTTTTCGATGAGGCGCAAGTGAACGCTCGACGCTGCTGGATTTGCTCTGGATTTGTTTGGACCAGAGAAGGTAGGCGGTTTTAAGGCACCCCCACACGGCCGTTTTAGACGCCCCTCGGTTTGTCAGATATGAGAGCAGTTATCAGGTCAAACCAACAGGTGTTGTAGCGATGGAAGCAGGCAAGAGAACTGGTTCAGATAGAAGTGATTGTACCCGACCTAAAAAGCCTCTGCATGTTTCTAATAAGCAGAAACGTGCTCAAACTAGGATCAATATTGGAGATGCTTTTGAAAAATGGAGAGAGGTTAGAACACAGAAAGGTTTACAGACCGATGCAGAGCTGGATAAACACTGAAGCTTCAGTGTCCACCACATGGTGACCTGCTGAGCATCGACTCTAGAGAGGAGGGGGCGGGTGAACGCTCGACGCTGCTGTATTTTAAGTTCGATCTTTTTTTGTCTTATCTAATTAGAAGTCTTTCCCCGTCACTGTGTGTCACTCTGGGCTGCATGTTTGTACAACAGCTGCTGTATGAAGGAAGTTACAATCAGAATAAATTACCTCCTGATTGAAAAGCATTGCACAGGGAAGATGTCTGTCTGGTGTTTTATATATATTGACCTGAAAACCGCCGCCTGCTTCTGCAAAGCGGCCTGCGGCTCTGCTGTGTCGTGTGATTTTTCTGTGTGTGTTTCAGACTTTCTAATTAAGAAACACAGAAGAAAAGATGATTTGTGTGAAGCGTTTGACACGCTCGGGAGCCGGCTTGTGTTTTTATTGTTATGTTTTGTGTGTGACTCAGAATGATGATGGCTGCTGTGTGTATTGTGCGGAGCTGGCGTTGTTGTTCTGGGTGTCTGAGGGAGGAGCGGAGGAGCGGAGCCCGAACCGCGGGGGACGCTGATTCTTCTTTTATGGTTAATTTGCTCTGTGATTTGGTGGAAGAAGTCCTCGGTGGTCTTTGTCAGCAGCTGTGTGGGAGTTAGCAGACGCTCTGTGGAAGGCACCGGGGACCGACTGTCTTTTGTTTTATTACTACTTTGCATGATACATTTGCATTGTTTATCAGGGTTCTAACACGAGAGCGATGAAACAAAGCTCCTCGTAGAAAAGTGTGTGAGCATGAGAGATGAGAGAAACTAAAGCTGAACCCTGAAGTACCGCCGAGCTCCCTCTACACACCAAGCCTCATGGGTACCGGAGGAAAAGTTATTCCTTTAGAAGTTACTAACATGAACATAACTTTAAGAAGATGCAGAAACACCAAAAATATAATTTATTCCCTTAAATTTGACTTTTAAGTTCACACATATTACAAAAACTACACTCCGTCATGTTTCTCTAAAGGCCCTGACACACCAGGGAGATCGTCGGTCCTCGTTGTGTTGGTGAGAGGAATCTCTTTGATTGGCTGTTGGGAGGTATCATTTCTCTCCAGCTCTCTTAGGTTCAGGAAAGCCCCTTGAGCATGCCGCTGTAGTATCCACACTTTCACCCATTAGTGCGGTTTCTCCTTATTTGTCTCCTCCGCCTCTTCTTTTCTTTTTCCACGAAAAGACCAAGGGCTGACAACGCCAGCATCTTCAACTTTTTATCAGACATTATTCTCCATCAGTAGACTACCTATAATACGAGTGGTGAGCGACAGTGGTGAGAAAATAGTCTTCTCGTATCATAACAATGGACTACCGCCACCTGTTGGCATGGAGAGTTATTTCCTCTCACGCATGAGCAGAACGTTTGTGGTGGTTGGCCGTCGGCTGTAGTCTTTGCGGTGTGTTCCAAGTGCAACTTTTTGGCCATAGGCGGCCTTCATTGCAACTAGTTCTTTGCCGTCTGCTTGGTGTGTCAGGGCCTTAAGGAAGTTATCGGCTGATATACTGATATCTGATTTTTTTTGTTCCCCAAAAATCCCATATCAGTCGGGCCCTACTGTACTGTGGTGGCCTAGTCTATCTCTGGAGGAAACAGATCTTCAATTAAAAGTACTTTTCTTGTTGAAAAAAAGTTAAAAAATTTGGAATATCGGCAGAAATTCAGCTGCACTTGAAAGAAGAGAAAGTCTTTACTGTCTTTGCTGCATCTCTGAAAACTAAAGAACATCCATCTCCACTTACCCATATGTATTCAGCTTCGAGCACACAAGACAGAGAAATAAAAAACCTTTAGCAGGATGAAGACAAACAACAAAGAGCGCCCCTGAGTGTTTGGTTTGTCACTCCAGAGAAGTCCGTAAAAAAAGGAGTGTTTTTCTCGTCAGATGTGAGAGCGACCTGTGTGAGTAACTGACTGATGCTCGGAATAAAAACAATAGACGCTTGACGCCTTTATCTCCCAGACAAAACGCCACAGACGCGCCGAGTTGGATTTGATAAAAAGCTGCTGTCTCGTGGAGGATTCACAGACTCGGCCTGCTGAAAACCTTTTTTTATGTTTTTTTCAAAAAATGTCTCCAGACTGTGGTTGAGGGAGTTATCTGTCAGCGCTGTAATCTTTATTGAGTCGTAACGCAGTGAGAAATCCTTCATCGCTGATTGCCACCGCTCTCTCTGCAGAATTATTTCCCAGAGCTGTTGTAATTGGGAGCGTAATAAGTGAAAATAAGAGGGAGGCTCTCACAGGCGGCGATGACTTAGTGTTTCATTAGACGGTCTGACAGGGGTTAAGATCCTATACACACTTTGAAAAGTAAAAAAAAGAAGCTCTTTTTAGCTTTTATGAAAACAGCTGGAGACCAAAGCAGTAGACATGAGACACACACACACTGAGTGTTTGCTCGAGCTCTGCATGGATCAGATCTCATTAATCTCTCTGTGTTCATTAAGAGTCTCCTCTGTTTATCATTGTGGTTTCAAACCTCATCGGAGCTGATTCTGAGTGACACACGGGACAGGTCGGAGCCGAGACCACCGGGGGTTAACTTAACTTAATTCAGAGCTGGGAGAGAAATGTGGGAGTCAAAACTCTGATTTTAAATCTCAATTAGTTTCATATTCAATTTTCTAAATCAAAAGCAGGGTCAGGGATATTCTGAGTATGGTTTTACTCATCACCCCTGTGCCTTTGTGCACGTCTCACCTAAAAGAAAAACACTTGATAAGGAACAGTATAGTTAAGCATCAGCCTGCTACTCCACATATACGTGCACAGAGATCGTAGCGGTCGCATACATACAGTCTACGCACCGTTCAGCAGTCACAGGATATAAACCTCACTCCCCCCTCCCATTGGCTCCAGGTGAATTCTCCGGATAATATCCTGCTGCGTTCTCACATCAGTTCACTCGGACTTGCTGCAGAAACAATACCAAGAGGCCAACAGGAGAAACTCCGGGTGAAGTCTGAGGAGTTTTTTCAGGAGATTTCTGCAAGTGTGAAAGCACTGACAGAGGGAGAGTACCCCTGTTGGACAGGTGGGGAGGGGGGGCGGGGTTAGAGTATTACATATTATATACCAGGCGTGGTCAAGAGGGTGGCATGGCCATACCCTAGAAATCTGATTGCCCATCCCGAGGTGACACCCCAAAGAACTGTGATTGGCTAGTTGCCCTGTCAGAGGCGGGACTTATGTTAAAACCAACTATTAGGTATTTTTTTTGCAGAAGGCTGCTACCTTTTTTTTTTACACATCAAGGAAGCACATTTTCTTTTGTTTGTACTTTAAATTATGAATACAAACTTTGGACATAATCTATTTCATTAGAAAGGTTCGTGAGATAGTCTTACTTCCAATGAGCTAACTATCAATGTGTTGGGATCAAATGGTGCAAGTTCGACTGTGCAGGAGTTTGCATGCATTTGCACAAGTACTTTAAATTGTGACTTTGGTTGCAGACTTCTGTTCAGTTGCCGTCTGCTTAATTATAATGTGAAGCTTCTGTATTTAACATGTTGGTTTCTCATGACGGAGGGTGGAATCTTTTCCTCCAGCATTCTCTGGGAGCCTCGAGAGACAAATGCAGATGAATTGAAGTAGACGGGGTGAAAAATAAAGGTTTTCTAAGTCTGGATGTGGTTGAGAATGAGCTGCCACTCACCATTAGGACGCTGGTGAGCGCAGACTGTGGGCAGAATAATGAATGGGATGACATTTTGAGAGAATGTCTCCTCTTCTAAATTATCCTTCCACTATACAGCCGGATTCAACTTTCAAATAATCAGAAGAGCTCAAGTGAGTTTTATTAAGATGACGTTAATAATCTCTGTTATTTTTGACAATGTCTGTCTCCTCTACTTTCTCCTCGAGAACAATCTTAGCACAGACTTAAATCTCATGAAATATTATAAAGCTCGGCTGAATTGGTTGATTGATTCCAAATAATTGAGTAAGAATTATCCAAAGACATTTATGGAGGAGGACAATGTGAAGTCACTCATTGGTGTGTTTGGTATTTTGTCTGTTACCATCTTGTTTTGAAGATATGATAGTCAAGTCAATGGTCAAATCATTAGCTGGCTAATTAGCTTGTTAATGATAGTGTATGCCACAGACAAAGCGTTGTACCAGGCGGTAAACAGGTTTATTTCTCCTGTAATGTTGCACATTTTAACATGGAGCTCAATGGGGTTCAACTAATTTTTGCAGTCAGCCCCAAGTGGCCACTCTCTGTATTGCAGTTTTTGACACTTAATGCATTCACTTATTTTTTTGATGCCTGAGGTTGCTTCTTGATATCTCCGTGCATGTCAGCATCTTTCTCTGATTTAAAAGGTAACCTCTCTTTTCCCTCCAGGTGGACCCAATGTTCATGGTGCCAGCGCCCCCTGCTCCAGGCCACCCCGGGGCCCCTGGATCCTCTTTGCCCTTGCCCCCCTCTTTCTCCTCTCCGGCCCTGCCCACCTCCAACCCAAAACAGCTGGTGGTGAGGACGAGGTCTGTAGGCACCAACACCCAGGATGGAGGCGGCTCAGGAGCTCTGGAGGCAGACACGGCCTGCCTGGGGCCATGTCAGCCCGGGACCAGCGTCAACCTGGAGGGCATCGTCTGGCATGAGACGGAGGAAGGTAAGGAGAACAAAATACACTGTTTTCTGACTGGTGAATCCTCTGATAAAGCGTGACAGGAGGTGAAAGTGACACCAAGCTGCGGTGAATAGATATATTTGTCCTGCACTTTATCCTTTCAGGGACATTTTGTATTCTTCAGTTAATCAGATATCCTGATGTTTGAGTAGTCAGAAGACTAGAAAAGTGCTATCCAAGCTCAAGTCCATTTACCGTTTACTATTGTCAAACATGAAAGAAAATGTAGCCATGCATGTGTTGTATTAGGACGTTATGTACTAAAGGTAACCATGCTCAGGCCCGGTTAGTCCTGGAGCAGTGTGAGTGCAGGCCAGCGGGGGACTGCGGGGGGGGGGGGGGGCAACCTGGCTTCTGCACGATACCTAGTGTGAGTGCACCCTGAGTCAGTTTTAAAGCTACTTAATGAAACAATCAACTGTAGCAATTCCTAGTCGTTTGAGTTATTTAGACTAAAATATATGAATAAAAAGACACTACGTTAAAACAGGAATATTGCATGACACTTTAAACATGCTATGGTATTTTTAGTGTGTGTGTGTGTGTGTTGAAGTCAGCAGGCGTTGAATGTCTGAGTGTGAGCTGTGGAGAGTCTGAAGTGTCAAACGTGGGTAAATAAAATGGTGTGTCGCGGCTCAGTGAAAGCAGAGATGGTGGAAACACATCAGCAGCATCTCTGATCTGCTGGCTCGACTTCCCTCTGACAAAAGACTTGATCCGCCTTGATGTTTGGAGAAGCCCAGATTTACTCCTCACTGCTCTCCGTCAGGTGCAGCATTTCTTTTACTTCTTGTCACATTTGAGGATTAATGTTGTGCACATCTCTTTGTGAACTTTAAACACAGTAAACAGAGCGACAGCCAGAGATGAGAGTGTTTTTACTGAGTGCATTCAGAGTTCAAACGGCCATTTCACCCTAATTCCCCGGGATGTTTGAAGATGCAGGTGCAGGTTTGCAGCTAATGGTTTGTTTTGGTCCTGCTCATTATAACTAAAGGTGGTGCAGTTTGCAGGCTGTAATTGGAGGCTCTTTATTTAGAGGCTTTGAAAAGGACGGCTTGTGAATTTCTGGCAGCTCCAGGGGAAACAGACTTTTTCTTTCTCTCCAGCAGTAGCTTTTGTATTTTCCTGTTCGGTGACTTTGACTCCCGCTGTGAGGCGTTTTTACACACTGCATAGTTTTTTTCTGTCGTGCAGTATTTCCTCACATCGATGCGAATAATGACAACAATATTTTAATTCCACTCAGCTCTTTGTTACATGACTTAAGAAAAGCCCTGCAATCCTTTGACTGCAACCACTGATTTCCATTTGAACAAAATAGTCATTCATAGTTCAATACTCCACCATCAACAGTCTGAATAGGGCTAAAGAAACCGTTCCGTGTTAAACCATTTGCACTCTTATAATAATAATAAATAATAAGAAACTCTGGACTACTCAGCTGCAGTACAAGAAGATTTACTGGTAGCTTCAATCCCAGCTAGCCCCGCCCTGACTCCCCAGCTCTCTATAGCCCAATTTTCACCAAGCAGTCCAGTTCAGTTCGGTTCACATTTATTGGCATTTCCACTGTCAAAAGTTGGGAAGAGTACCAAAATAACTGATCGTATCGCCCTACTTTTTTGGCAACCTTCTGTTCAGGGTCCAAGCGTACAGATCCGACCCTAAAGGTTGAAGCGAGACACACTGCAGTCCGTTTGGAGAGAGTCATTTCAAGGCTGTTTTTTTTTTGGTTGTTTTTTTTGCAACTATTGTCAGCGCGTAGCTCCGCCCCAATGGACATCCTCAGAGATGCAGACCTTTCTAGGAATCAGTGATTTATATTCCTGTGTCACCTTCTTCTTCTTTGTTGAATTTATTGGCTGTCTGCACTCTGTCATGCCGCTGTGATTGAGTGATGTGTACGGGTACGTCTGGCCATGGAAACGCAAGCAAGGTCAGGGTTTACAAACCAAATCAGCTTCATTTTTCAACACAAGTTTCAACAGGTCGCCAGTTTTTTTTTCAACCCCTACTGACGGCTCTTTTCTTGATATAAAATGAATGCAGGTAGCTGAGCTGTTGGTGTGCACGCCCCATGTAAGGAGGCATCGTCCTCAAGGCGGGCAGCCCAGGTTCGAAACTGACCAGTTGATCCTTTCTTGAAAGCCATTTCAATTTATTTTGTTGCTGTGGCATCAAAACAGGGATCCATATTATTTGACTAGAATCATATTGAATGTTTGGGATACAGTGTAGCATCGACGATCACAACAAAAATAAATAAAATACAGGACAAAAGGAGGAGAATAATACGATGACACTGCACTGTGTGTCGACAAGATGGAGTCTAACAGCCGAATATTTCCACAGCGTTGCCTCCTTAAAGATCCTGTTCGGAGCCGGTTTGGTTAATTAAAGCTTGGCGTGCTTATGACCGTGGTGCGGGTTTGAAAAACATATGCCAACCGAACAAACGCGGTTCTTATCGTTCCCATGCCAGACACTTTCCAAGCAAATAACACCAAAACCCAGTTTTATTTTTAAAGACGACTGGTTATCCTCAAAAGAGCTGTTCTGGCGCCAAGCTGCACGCTTTCACGAGTCCAAAACGAGAAGGAAATCAGAACCAGAATCCGGTCCAGATCTACAAAATGATACCATGAGAGCACCGGGCGGCGGATCAGACAGACCCATGATTCACCCACTGATTTCGACGCCATGGTTCTTTGATAGTCCGTTAACGAGGACAGCGCTCAGCACGGCGGCCTCTCAGCGGAGGTGTAATACCTTACTGCAGGCTGCTAATGAATAAATCCCGTCTCTGTGTGCCCGTCTCGCTCTGCCAGCCGCAGGGCCTCTGAAGTGGAGTGGGGAGTTTGGCGAAGAGGCGTTTGTTTCCCGGCCCGGTATTAATTAACTGAAACAACACTCACTCAGCTCTGGCAAAAATAAAACAGGAGGAGAAGAAGGAGAAAACAAACACAACGCAGGGGAATATATCTGAGGCACAGAGTGCTTCTGAAAACAGGCCGCAGCGATGGAGAGAGGAGAGACAGAATAATCCGTCTTCTGCTTCAGACTCTCAAAGAGAAAAACAAAATCTCCTCCAAACGTTGCAGTAAATACACTTCAAGTAAAGTGAATTATAATGTTTCAGTGCAGAGTTTGACAATCTCGATAAGCACATTTAGCTCACAGATTCTGTAAAAAAGCTTGTTCTGCATCCCATCCCTAACCAAAAAATGTCCCCGTCTATTGCACTCATATTTGATCTTAAGAATTAAAACACAGGAGTGAGCATATCGCCTCCTCCATGCAGGAAATACCTGCACAGAGGAAACATCAAAGCGACACGTTTCCAGGTTTTTTAAAAGAAGAAAGATGTAGCAGCAGCCTCAGAGAGGAGACGCAGAGAACAGGATACAGAAATAACACCAAAGAGAAAGCAGGGGTTTTTTTTATGAAGATACAAAGAAGTACAAGAGCAAATAGTAACATGCAGCAGCAGAATGTGGAGGGAGAGTCTGCATAGCGACGGGAAAGAAAAGGTGTGAGAAAATAAATTCTTAACATGCTGGCAGGATGGACAGATGGACGGATGAGAGAGTGAGAGAGGAGAGAGACGGACAGAATGGCAACACAGGTTTTTGTCTGTTAATCACCTGGGGATGGAGAGGAGGAGAGAGGAATGAAAAAAAGGGATCATTTGCGATGCATCAGAGCAACAAAGAGAGTCGAGAGTAGTTTGTTTCTCTTTGTCTTTTTCTTCCTCCCTCCCACTCGGGGACTATCTCTGAGGAGGCGGCGGGATAACAGGAGCCTCCTCCTCCTCCTCGTGACGGCGGAGGGATACGCGAGGATGGAGGATGCTGCATGCATGTTAATTAAGCAGAATACTAATTGGAACGACAGAGAGGAGGAAGAGGACTCCACCATTTCAGATTAAGAACCCCCACCCCCGCTCCTCCTCCTCCTCCTCCTCCTCCTCCTCTCCTCCCCGCAGGAGACCACAGTCTGATGAGAGCTAATCAGACGGTGATTGGCGCGACAGTCTGACTTTAAGACAACCTGCCTGTCTGTCTGTCAGCGACAAAGATGTGAATAACTTTGATTTTGCATCTCCAAAGAAATGTAAAAGATAATTTGTAATGAGGGGAAAGAAGCTTACATCTGTTGTTTTTTCTCTTGCACATAAAGGAAGAATGTGCGACTTTATGATCCAGTAGATGTCGCCCCTTGAGCTCCAGCATGAAATCAAAACAAACTGCTGTTAGGCCACATCTCCTCCATACTGAAACCTCCGCTCTCCTCCAGAGACACTCCTCCAACCTCTCTCCTCTCGCGTTCTCATGAAGGAGTCAAGCACAAGCTGTAATCACCTGTGTGCTGCACTGTTGTGTTTGCATGCTAATGGTAGCGCTCTTTAGTTAGCTCGTGGCTTCTCGTTGCATTGTAAAAAACGCTTACGCTGACATCCAAATAATCAAGTCCTGCACGTTTGATTACGTGAGCATGGAGCGTGGAATCGCCACTGTGACATCGTGGCCGAATCGTCCAGTTTCTTTTCTTCAGAGATTATGTTCAACATCGGCTGAACGTCTGTGGTCTCCTTGGTTAAGACTTGAAAAATCATCTAGCGTGTAGCATAGCCTCATGCACAATAAATGTCAGTGACAGTGCACACAGACCGGGCTTGCTTCAGAAAACTGCAAACAATGAAGCAGCAGAAAAAAAAATCAATGGGAGGATGTTTAAAGTGCAGAGAAGCTGTGCTGAAGGATGAAGGCTGGCTTTGACTGTTAAAAGAGTCCCTCTCTGACAGAGTGTGTTCGAGAGGTGAAGCACAGAGAGGAACTTCTCGTGTGACCCGACTGAACCGACTCGCAGGGTTTGATGTTGCTGACCGAGTTCAGGAGAGAGAATCAGCACAGAGGCTGTAAAAGAAACATCTTATAGGAGGAATAAATGTGAACTTTGAGGGGGAAGACATTGATTTTTTTTGAGGAAGGAGGCAGAGAGGGAACATTTTATTCTTCTCTGATCTTAACAAACAAACCCTGACGTCACAGATGCTCCCGTTGTTGGTTCAAGGACTTTATGATGACTGCAATTCTCTCCTTTAAAAAAATATGTGTTTGTTTTAACCGTGTGGAGAGACAATCAGCCTCTCCTCAGACCGCAGACTGGGAGTTTATTCACAGGCTCAAACCGACTTTGAATTTTGAATGTCGCACAAGTTTAGAGGAACACGGTCCTGACGTGAACACGCACTCAGAGATGACAGAGATGAAAACTGATGAGCTATCGAGTGTTTTGGCATCTTCCCAAGACGAGTCACGCTGACTAAAAATAGAAAGGCTGTCACGTTTTTTTAAGCCCAGTGAAGCTTTAGGGAACACGAGGGGAGGAGAAGAAAAACCTCCTCTGACTCCTGCTGGGACTTTCGATCCTGCACAGTCATCGACATGAACTGAAATGAAGTTAAAGGTCTCGAAAAGTCAGAAAATGTCGTTTAAGAAGTGATGGAAATGAGTATGGATGGCGTTGTTGTACAGGAGGTTTTAAGGTATGTTTGTCTAGTTGTTCTTTCCTGTCACTCTGCTGTGGACAGGGAGAAAAGCATGAAGGCATGAAACTGACAAATAAAGCAAATCTTGACATTTCTGCAAATGATGTGACTTTGGTCTAAAGGCCTTTGCACACCGAGTCCGTTTTCTTCAGATGCGTTTTTTAAATCCGCAAAGACACCTTGCACAGCACACACTGCGTTTATTTTTCCATTTATTGTGAAAATTTGCAATATGAGACAAAATACAAGATATAAGAACATATGTATGTGAATCATGTCCTGGCCCAAGCAACAGTGCTGGAAATTCTACCCTCAGAAAGACGAGTCAGGGCGGTGACCAATTCAAAGTTTAGAGGCTGTGGGGCCGTCCAGGTCTGATTCCGACCTGTTGACCCTTTCTTAAATAATTGCATAAAAAGCCTAAACATAAATCTTAAAAAATAAAAACGCATAGGCGTTGCCATGTCATTGACGCTGAAGCTTCAGTGTTTATCCAGCTCTGCATCGGTCTGTAAACCTTTCTGTGTTCTAACCTCTCTCCATTTTTCAAAAGCATCTCCAATATTGATCCTAGTTTGAGCACGTTTCTGCTCGTGGAGCTTATTAGAAATCATACTGCCTTGGTCTTGGTCTTGACTCGGTCTCGATCCCTACATGTCTTGGTCTCGGGTATGACTTGGTCTTTAGTATGTCTTGGTCTCTAAAACACTAGATTAAACGCTTCCAAAATGTGATTTGCTCTGCGTTGCTCATGGCGCATCACAAAACAGAGGTTAATGGTTTTCAAATGTCAGAATGAGAGAGAGCGAGAGAGAGAGGGGGGGGGGGGGCGTTTATCTCTCAGATTAAACCTTGAACACTTCACATCCAGCTTTAAACTACTGGAACAGAGGACTGAAGTTTCCTCCTGTGATGTTTCTGACAAAGATCGGTGTGAGGGATACATTCACTGAGTTGAACAAACATGTTGAACCATTTTCAAGACAATTTAAATGTTCAGTCCATCAGGCTGCTGCAGCTTTACTTTCCAAACTGCTGCTGCTTCAGACGTCTACTAATCAGAAGGATTTCCCTCTCGTAAACTTTTTCATTAGTGAGCATTTGTCTGTTATCAGAGTTTCATTAGTTTTCTCATTAGAACAAAGACGGGAGAATCTTCTCTGAGCTGCACAGGCTGATATATGCGACGCAATAAAGTGCAACAAAAGGTTTCGAGCCTCTCTCACAGTCAGGGTTGGAGATGTTTGAATCTGTTGCAGCTGTTTTTTGTCTTTTCTTTGAATTATATAAAATAACTTTAGCACAAAAAAGATCTTAAAATACATTAACTCTTTGCAGCAGTTTCACAGTTAATTTCATGCAGCAACACTGGATTAAAGTCAGTCCTGAACCAGGTGTTGTTTTGTGACCTCTGCATTTTTACACTGATTTAAAAAATCTGTTTTCATTCTGACATGTTCCACATAAATAAATCATAAATCAAGTCTATCTTGTGTAAATGTGTCTCTGAGTCATGACTGTCTACAATGAGTGAGAAGCTCGAGTCGTGCTGGCTCCTCCCCTTGTGTATAAAAGCTGTTTCAGTAGAGAGAAGAAGAACATAGTCACTGATTATTTGGATGTTAGTAAAAGTTTTTAGATCTCCGTCATTCTTTGTCAATTTACATGCAATGCGAAGCGACAAGCTAACTAAAGAGCGCTAACATTAGCATGCTAACACAACAATGCAGGACACGGGTGATTGCAGCTCGAGCTGAGGACGATTTTGTCCGCCTCTTGTGCGAGACTCCTCCGCTCGAGTGCTCTGAGTCAGTGTGGAGGAGGTGCGACAGTCGTACTGGATCAAAAAGTCGTGCCTTCTTCCTTTAAGACTAACCGCAGTGTTTCTGTCCTGTGTGATTGACAGGTGTGCTGGTGGTGAACGTGACTTGGAGGAAGAGAACCTACGTGGGAACTTTGTTAGACTGCACCAAACACGACTGGGCTCCTCCAAGGTAAAAAAAACCATTACTGAATACTTCATTTTCTTTGCATTTACTGTATGTTTGTCCACAGGTAACATCCACCTTATAAAACACATTATAGCTTATTGGGCTTTCTTTAAAAAATTCTACAATTTCTCTTTTTGTCCACTTGATCGCTAAATGAGCTGAGTTTAGATTCACACCTGATGGAGATGGAGATACCTTGGAAATGCATTTCAGTTTTTTGCAGATGACGAAGCAAACAACATCAGTTTCTTTTGTAAGTCAGCTGGGCTCGGAGATCTTTGCTGATCTTTGTGGAGCTCAGATTAGAGCTGCTGCTTTGAGCCTTAGATCAGAATCCGTCTGGTTGCCTCCCTTTGAGCCTTCAGACTGGTAGAGGACTCAGGGTTAGCCCAACAGCTTGCAGGAGGGATTATACATGGTTTGGCCCTGTAATGCTTTGGGGAACCCCAAGGAGAAGCTGGAAATCGTTGCTGGTGGGAGTGACGTCTGGAACACCTTATTCAGCATGCTGCCACCACAAACACTTCCTGGATAAGGGAAAGAGAATGATTGATGGCACAGCTTCCTGTTTGGTGGCACACTTCAACATTTGGTGATGTATTATTTCCGTTGTTAGGAGTTACAGCTGACGCTACCTAACTAAAATTACTGAAATACAAACACGACCTGTGGACATGCACTAATGGAGAGATGTGAGGCAGCTGCTACACAGGGAGCACGCTAGAGCTGTTGGGGGTTTGGTGCCTTGCTCAAAGGCAACTCAGCAGTACTCGTGTAGTGACCTAGCACCTCTCCAGCTACCATATCAACTTCCATATTTTGGTCCGGACGAGGACTTGAACAAGCCACCCTCCAGTTCCCAACCCGAGTCCCTACAGACTGAGCTACAGCCTACAATTCTACAATTCTACAATTCACTTAGCAGACGCTTTTATCCAAAGCGACGTACATCAGAGAGTAAGTACAACACAAGCAAGGAGCTAGAAAAAAGGGAACAATGTGAGTAAGAGCAAACGATCAGCTTTGAGTCTGATTGGACACACAGGTGCTGACAGGCATTGCACAGAGGCACAACATTGACAGCAGTTCTTGAGAGCTCTAATCAGTATAGAAACCATCTTATAAGTCATCGTTATCAAACAAAAACCATCATCACAACCATCATCATCATCAATAATATGGAGACCATCATCATTAAGTTAGTAGGTATTCATGAGCTGGGTCTTTAGCTTTTTCTTAAAGGTACAGAGGGACTCTGCAGATCCAATGGAGTTTGGAAGTTCATTCCACCACCGGGGGGCGCCAGAGGAGAAGAGTCTAGTCAGAGACTTAGGACCCTGTTGTGAAGGCGCAGTCTAGGCCTGTGAAGGCTGTTTCGTCATGAGCCGGGGATCTGGCCGAAGATTTCTGCCTTTTAATAAGGCAGTTTTTTCTTACCACTGTAACTTTTGCTGCTTTGCTAATGTGCTCATGATGGATAGGCCGGGTCTTTGTAACATAACAATGAGTAAGGTCTTTTTACGTGCTCTTTTGTAATGTTAACAGACAAAGAGTAAGGTATTTTACCTGCTTTTCTCAAGTGTCTTGAGATAACACTTGTTATGAGTTGACGCTATACAAATAAATTGAATTGAACTGAATTGAAGGTTGGATCAGACGCCTTTCATTGGCAGAGCGTAGTGGGTGGGAGGGAGTGTAGACCTGGATGAGAGAGTTGAAGTAAGGAGGAGACGTTTTTGTCGCTGTTTTGTAAGAGTGCAGCAGAGTTTTAAATTTGATGCAAGCCTCCGAATTCTTAATTCAAACTTTAAAAGCAGGTTTGACAGGTCACTCGTGGCCTAGTGGTTAGTGCATGCGCCCAATGTACAGAGGCTGTAGCGGGCGTCCTGTCTTTAAAACCTCCCTCTCAGATAAATCCCTACTGCTCCTGATTTCTGTCTTTACCCGCTGTCTTGTGTCGACAATAAAGGAAAAAAATGCCCAAAAATAAATCTTAAAAAAAAAAAAAAACAGGTTGGAATTTGATTTGCTCGACACATTGCCGCAGGGCAACGCAGAGTAAAAACAATTAGGACACAGTTCTATTTTTGACGACAAGCAACACTTTAATTTGATGCTTTCCTCTGTTTGTCTTGATATAAGGCAGCATTGTTTGACGCCTCGCACATGTCAGACGGTGACATCGGGTTTGAAATGAGTCTGATTCTAACTGTAAACATTTTAATGACAGGTTTGTCTTTATTGTTTTCATCTCACTTCTGCTGGCCTGATTTCCCTGTCTGATCATTTTTAACCATTGTTCCTCTTATTGGTTATTATTTGCTGCTGATTGCTTATTTGATTAACTGAAAAGAGCCATAACTGTCGGTCTCTTTAATGTTGCTTCAATTACCAGAAGGCTCAATCGTCTGCAGCGCTGTCAGCTGTTGTTCCGTGTTGAGCTTTAACAAAGAGGCGCTCTGCTTCCCAACTGTTTTACTAATGGAGAGGGGCTCCTTTTTGTAATTGCTGAGCGGAAAATGTGACTGTGTCTCTCACAGGGCTGAAACCTCTCAATTATTGCTCCTGCATGTAAATGATTGTTGTCATGGCAATTACAGCTTAATCTCTGCAACCAGGGACTAAATTGCTTTTTTTTCATTTGGACTCTCGCCTCCGCGGACGTCCGTCAGTGGAGACTGAATGCTGTTTCTTTTTCTGATGGTTCTTTATCTGTCATTGAAAGAAATCTCAACGATAAAAAGATGTAATTATTGAACCAAAGGAAGCAAGAAATATAACAAGCACATCAGGAAAACTGTCTGAGATAATTAACGGGCTTGATATTCAGTTTTAGGAGGGGAATTGTGGGAAATGATCTGGACTAAATCACTCATCCATCCATCCATCCAGCAATGTTTTCCAGCTCCTCCAGGGGCTTCAGAGGCGTTTCAAGGCTAGACGAGATATATAATTCTTCCAGCGAACTCTGGGTCTACCCCGGGGTCTCCTCCCAGTTGGGCCTGCCTGGAAAACCTCCAAAAGGGAGGCGTCCAGGAGGATCCTAATCAGATGCCCGAACCACCTCAGTTGTCTCCTTTCGATGCAAAGCTCTACTCTGAGCTCCCTCCAGATGTCTGAGCTCCTCACCCTTTCTCTAAGGCTGAGCCCAGACATCCTCATGAGGAAACTAATTTCGGCCTCTTGTATCCGCCATCTTATTCTTTTGGTCACTACCCAAAGCTCATGACCACAGGTGAGGGTTGAAGCAAAGATCGGCCGGTTAAATCTAGAGCTTTGCCTTCAGGCTCAGCTCCCTCTTCACCACAATAAACACCCACATTACTGCTGACACTGAGCCAGTCTTTCTGTCAATCCTGCGGTCCATCCTACCCTCACTCGTGAACAAGACCCCGAGCTAAATCACTCAATCGGTCAAATTGTCTCCAAAAGAGGTACCAAATAGCCTTGAAATGCCAGAGAAAATACATGAAATCCTGCAATTTTACTGACATTCAGGGCCACGCTGACGGTGAAAAAAGCAATTACAAACATCAGAGCAAATGTGAGATATCATCGTTTAAAAAACACAGAGGGAGTCCAGCCTCGACGTGCTCTGCAGTCCGTTCCTTTAATCAGGTGATTAACACCCGAAACAGTCTTTCCAAGGTCAGGATTTGTTCCAGGAGTATTTAACACCGAGCCGTCCCTGTGATGTAGTTTAGTAATTAATGCATTAACAGGCCAGCTCACGTGCAAAGATCAGGTTCCTTTAAAACAGACTCTTACTCTGCAAGTAAACACAAAGCAATGAAATCTCTTCATCCCAGCACGCAGGTTTCTGATAAATAATGTGCGAGTGTGGAAAAGCATCTCAGTGTTCAGATCAGTGTCTCTGGTGAACAGCATCAAAAGACTTCAAAGTAGAAGGAACGGCATGTGAATACAAAATGTCTTAGTATCAAATGCAGAGATAAAAACAGATTGTACAGTTTTTTTTAGTGTTATAGAGAGATAAGAAAGCTTTGTACTGAAAGAAAATCGTCTTTGTCTGCCTCAGCGTCTCGGTAAAGTGTTCCACATGAGCCTTGAATGATAATCTGTTCTTTTTTTTGTCTGATGGTACAAAAGTTCAGCTGAGGTGAAGATGTGAACACGTTGTTCTTCAGTAAAACACTTTTAAAGAAATAACCTTCAGCTTCATTGTCTTTCTTCTTTTTATCCAGTAAAGCATAAAAACTTTCATAAACTTGATGCAACACAATGGAAGGTAAGAAGATAAGATTAGATTTTTCAGGACATGAGTTGTTACAAAAAGATGCGATACAGTGAGATATGATTTACCACAATGTAAATAATACAGATATAATGACCAGTGTGTGGACTAATGCATTACTAAGTAACACATTATTGAAACACCACTACTATTTGCATCAACGATTCTATCAATCATTATTTGTAAAGCGCCAATTCATTGCGACACAGTCCGATGGTGGAGGCTGGGCGTACAGCTGGTGGTTGGGACGACACGGTCTGATGGTGGAGGCTGGGCGTCAGCTGGTGGTTGGGACGACACAGTTTGATGGTGGAGGCTGGGAGTCAGCTGGTGGTTGGGCATCAGCTGGTGGTTGGGACGACACAGTCCGATGGTGGAGGCTGGGCGTCAGCTGGTGGTTGGGACGACACAGTCCGATGGTGGAGGCTGGGCTTCAGCTGGTGGTTGGGACGACACAGTCCGATGGTGGAGGCTGGGCGTCAGCTGGTGGTTGGGACGACACAGTCCGATGGTGGAGACTGGGCGTCAGCTGGTGGTTGGGACGACACAGTCCGATGGTGGAGGCTGGGCTTCAGCTGGTGGTTGGGACGACACAGTCCGATGGTGGAGACTGGGCGTCAGCTGGTGGTTGGGACGACACAGTCCGATGGTGGAGCTGGGCGTCAGCTGGTGGTTGGGACGACACAGTCCGATGGTGGAGGCTGGGCTTCAGCTGGTGGTTGGGGCGACACAGTCCGATGGTGGAGGCTGGGCCTCTGGCGGTTTGGGACGACACAGTCCGATGGTGGAGGCTGGGCGTCAGCTGGTGGTTGGACGACACAGTCCGATGGTGGAGACTGGGCGTCAGCTGGTGGTTGGGACGACACAGTTTGATGGTGGAGGCTGGGAGTCAGCTGGTGGTTGGGCATCAGCTGGTGGTTGGGACGACACAGTCCGATGGTGGAGGCTGGGCGTCAGCTGGTGGTTGGGACGACACAGTCCGATGGTGGAGGCTGGGCTTCAGCTGGTGGTTGGGACGACACAGTCCAATGGTGGAGGCTGGGCGTCAGCTGTGGTTGGACGACACAGTCCGATGGTGGAGACTGGGCGTCAGCTGGTGGTTGGGACGACACAGTCCGATGGTGGAGGCTGGGCTTCAGCTGGTGGTTGGGACGACACAGTCCAATGGTGGAGGCTGGGCTTCAGCTGGTGGTTGGGGCGACACAGTCCGATGGGGAGGCTGGGCCTCTGGCGGTTTTGGGACGACACAATCAGATGGTGGTGGCTGGGTGTTAGGCGGTCCTTCTACATCCATAGACGTGTATCAAATGATATCTTTTAGCATAATCTATTGCATTTAAAGAACAAGACTCAACAAAAGAATGACATTTCACAATCTGTCTGCATTGTAGGAAAACATACATTCCCCGATCCTTTGGTTTTCTCCTTTTGCCCAGGTTTTGTGAGTCTCCCTCCAGTGACCCTGAGTTGCCAGGGGGCCGTGGCCGGGGAAAAGGATGCGAATGGCCATGGCCGAGCGGCCCTGCATTGAACCGCCCCTTCTACAAAAGTCAGAGGTTTATCACAGCACAGGAGCCGTGGAGGTGGTGTGGCTGGAACTGCTGCTCCCCTCCACAGCAAGGGACGGAGAGGAAGCCTGAACCTCATCAACAGCAACTGCCGTGCGACTCCTTCTTTCTTCACTGTGGATGACGTGAAACCCACAAACAGCACCTCCTCTCTCTCCTCAGGGAAGAGAAAGAACAAACCGCCGGCTGAACTTGACCTCAGCTTGGTCTCCTCTGAAGACATTAAAAACGGGAACGGTAAGAGGATCCGAGCCAAATCCCGCAGTGCCCCATCCACACCGCAGGGCAAATCCGACCCCTCGTTCATGGACCCTGGAGGAGGTTGTGCCTCCTCACCACCTCCCCCACCCATCCTAATTGACTGCCCCCACCCCAACTGCACTAAACGGTACAAGCACATCAACGGCCTGCGCTACCACCAGACACATGCACACCTGGAGACTGAGGAGCAGAGAAAGCCTGAGCTAGAGCCCTCCAAGGATGTGGAGGGGGACGATCGACTGTCAGACTGTGAGGACTCAATAGGCAACTTGACATATGACCTCTCTGAAACAAACAGCGGTAATGCAAACAGTTCCTCCAAGAAACCTGCTCCTCTTTATAAGGTGACCACAGTTGGGTCTCCTAAGAACAGGCGGTTGCTCTTAAGTACCGACCACAGCCCCACAGCCAACTCCAAGACCAGAAGAACCTCACTGCTGAAAGATGGCCTGATTGATGATCTTAGCAATCTGCCCATCATCTCCAACATGACAGTAGTTCTGGAAAACTGCATGGTCCCAGACAGAAACTCAATGGTGGAGATGCCCAAGCTTGAAGCTGAAGGTTTGATTGATAAAAAAGGAGGTGCATGTGACAAAGGCAAAAAAGCCAACGGGAAGGTGGACAAATTGTCCAAGTCACGAACAAACAGGCTGATTGCCCCAGCACCTGCTCCACCAAAGCTGATAGCCATACCCAATACAGGATATCCAACTGGCACAGCAGACAGTGCTACCTCACAGCAGCCCTCACCAATGGCAGCAGTAGGCCTGACGAGTAAAAACCTTCCACTGAAACCCATCAAACCAAAGCTGAACATCGTCGTTGAACCCAACCTCGTCAAAGCCACCCTGGTTACCTGCAGCAAAGAGACCAGGAAGAAAGAGAAACGGCGGCTGAAGGACAAACATAAAGATCTGCCGACCAGGACACCTAACTGTGACAATGGAATCAAACTGGAAGATGGTGGTGGTTCTAAAATGGGCATCAAGGAAATCTCTGGAAGCCTTCTGAAGGAGCACCTCAGTAAGCAGGATGTAATGAATGGACTCACTGAGAGCCAGGAGAGCAGGATGGCCAGCATTCGAGCGGAGGCTGACAAGGTCTACACCTTCACAGACAATGCCCCCAGTCCTTCCATTGGTGGTTCATCACGGCTTGACGCCAGCGGTGGTTGCGTGGTCACTGCAGACAACAACAGTAAAAATAACAGCCCTGCCTACTCTGACATCTCAGATGCCGGGGACGATGGAGGATCTTCCGAATGTCGCTCAGATGGAATAAGGTCCAAGTCCGGCTCCTCCACCTCTTCAGAGGTGAGCTCAAACTGTAACCATGGTAACTCTGGTAAAACACCACCCACAGCACCTGCCCCAACATCAAAAGACCCCCAATCCCCGTACTACCACAGCTATGACCCCTACTACCTTCAGGGGTACATGCAGTCGGACAGGTCAAACGGTAGCAGTGTTGCTTTCCACAAAAATTCTGCCCTGGATGGAAAAGGGAAAGACAGAAAGGAAGAAGTGAAAGAGGATGACAAATGCTCTCCCCATGAGTTTTCAGACTCTAAGAAAGGCGATGGGCCTCCTCAGTCCCAGCTCCAGCTGGCGATGAGTCAGACTCAGACTGCTTTGGCCCAGTCGCTGTACTACGGCCAGTACTCTAGAGGACTGTATATGGACCAGAAGTTGTTACTGGGCTCCAAATGCTGTGACCAGACTCACAGTGGCAAGCAGAGGGGCGACAGAGGACAGGGGATGAGGGACAGTGAGGAGGATAAAAATATGGTTGGGTGTTCAGGTGGTGGATCGATGCTAGGTAAAGGTCCAGATGGTGCTAAAGGTTGCTGCGCAAAACCAGTCCTGTCCTACGTGGAGTTGAGTGAGAGGGTAGAAAGGGGACAGAGTCTGGGCATGAAGGCAGCGCACAGTGGCATGGTGGACCAGCACCAGGTCTCGATGAAAGACTGTGATGACATCAAGTCATCGTCCTCTTCCTCTTCTTCATCACTCCACAACCAAAACATTCAGACAGATCTGGACTCAAATGTTTCCTTTTCCAGTGTAAGTTTCTCCCTCTGTCTATAACCTGCCGCCGCCGATGATGGTGTTGTTGGTGTGCTTTAATATCTGTTGCTGAGTGTCAAGAGATTGATCACACATTGTGCTCAGACAAACAAGTAGGTGCTAACAACAAAGACCATGTGGCTTCTGTGGTGCTGTAGCTCTTTAGTCATTTTGGTTAAAATCAAATTTCGGTGGTTTGATGGAAACTTTTATTTATATTTTTAGAGTAATGTCGAAAATGTAACCTTTAAATGTTAAATATAAAGAACAAAATATTTCTAATACATTAGTGATGGTTTTGATATGAGCTGCTTTTTTTGGACAAAGCTTGTACATATTTTTAACCATGTCATTTCATGATGCAGTTAACCACTAACTCTAGCTATGCTGGGCCGTCTAACCGGATGAATGAATTGAATGAAAGCCGTTATTGGGAGGTGGAGTTTTTTTCCTTTCAGTTTGTCCTAAATTCTGCAGTTGATCATGTATGAGACGTGACTCCATTCGTGTCATTGAGAGGGACACCACAATCCTCACATCCCACCTGTGAATGGCCGCCTGCTGTTGAAACGTCGTCATCCTTCATCAACATCACACCCAGAGCCAGTGATAGATGGTCTGTCTATGGTTCTGTTCACTCAAGTACACAGTGTTTCCTCTATAGTCGTTCAGCAGCGGTGGGCCACCGCCGCCAAGAAATTCTCCAACCCTGCTTAAAAGAAAATGCACAAATGAAATTCATGAAGTAGCCTTACTTTCTCTCCAAAACCCCTAAGCAGACAAACATTAGATTTGTAAATTAAAAACTCTGCAACTGGCAGGAGAAATTAAAACTGGGACAAAGACTGTGACCGAAGTTGAACTGACCCAAAAAAGACTCTCACCCACCACTGTTAACTAAAAATTATAGGGGAAACACTGCAACTCGCACCAACACTTGTCCCCATCGATCTAGCCCTCAGATGGCCTGGCCTGGGCTCACTGCCTGCCTCACAGCAAATACTCAGAGCTACAACATGGGGAGGAGGCCGAGGAGGGTGAAGTAGACAGGGGAAAGGAATGGGGAGCGACCATGGAGCCTGCCGGTGCTAAGATGACCTCTGGAGTAGGGCCTGGTGGAGAGAGAGGAGTGGGCCTTGGTGGGGATGTTAAAAAATCCAGGGTCCATGGATCCCTAGATCTCCAGCCCATCATCGACGCAGAGGATTCAGACAGGCTGGAGGCGCTGGATGATTCAAGCCAGGAGCCAATGGGAGGGCTCTCTGAGGAGTCCCAGAACGCCAGGGCCGCAGTGTCCCCCCCAATGACCCCCCAGCAGCCTTACATCCAGTACCAGCACTCCTCCTACCAGCCCTACCTGTCAATGTGTGAGAGTGGTGGAGGCTCCTACAGAGGTGTGTCCCCAACCCTGATCCACAACTACCCAGGTAAGAGTCAGAGTGAAGATATGGGTGTGCTACAGAATTAATTGAGAGATCGTTTGAGGAGAGGATCATGCCAACTCTCCAGATTTAGAACCATAGTAAGAGATATCGAGCTACAGCCAGCTGCTATTTGGAAAGACTGGAAACAGAGGGAAACAGCCAACCTTGCAATTTGAATATAGGTATAGTATACATAGTTAATCCTAGTTAAGGATTTTGGGGTTGCACCTGGGGTGGCCAATAAGATTTCAAGGCGGGCCCATGCGCCCACCCCTGGCCACATGTCTGCACACACCCCTGGTTGTACGGGTTGGAGGAACTCTTCTGATATTGGTAGAGCAAACAAAGGTTTTAAAACAGTCAACTGCTCTGTTTTTGATGTCTGTATAAAGTCACCGTATGTGTGTGTGTGTGTGTTTCATTATCTGTGGCTGCGTGTGTGTGTGTATATCTGTTTGTTTGTCCACCAGGTTTCCACTACCCTCTGTACGGTAAGACGGCGGGCAGGGAGGAGTCGGAGGTGACTCCGCCCAGCAGAGGGGGAGCGGTGAGCAGCAAGCAGAGCGGTGACTCCTCCTCGTCCTCAGCCATGGAGCTGCTGCAGCAGCAGAGCCACCAGTACCATGGAAAATCTCCCGCTGTGAGGCACCGCTCACTTTCACTGTCATATCCACACTGCAGCTCATGGCTCTCACGTCTGCTCTCACACACATGTTTCAGATTTTGGTTACTCCTGAATTATCAAAACTAGGCCCTTTGTATGTATTTATTATGGGGACTAAATGATGCACTAGTAACACATTTTGGAATAGCTTTAGTAGATTGCTTCTGTCTGCAACAGAATCCTTTGGGGCAAACAGCCTGGTCCAAGTCAGTCTACTAAAAGTTGTTTTTGTCCCTGACAGGCTCAGGTAGTTATTTTGAGTGACTGACCAAAAAACAGAAAGCATCCCAACAGAGTTAGAGCTTTTTGTTACAGAAGAGGATGATTTTCTTTTTTAACAGAACGGATCGTGTCTTGTACCCACATCGTCTTTGCTCCGTGTCTGATCAGGAAATAAACCTAAATCTCAAATATAAAACATGCAGTAAAAAGTAGCGGAGCAGTGTCGGTCATACAGCAGTCGTTGTCAACAGACTGTTGCCATAGAGACAGGACGGACGAGCAGCGCTTTTCTTCTTAACGCACAGACGCTTCATGCAAACACTCCCGAGCACACAGTCAGAGCTTTTCTTCTCATAAAAAACACCGGATGGACACGGGACCTAAGCTCGAGTCTCTACCAATTATTATGTATCTTTAGGACTGTTCATTAGCAAACCAAGTGACGGTTGGTTGCAAGGAGGTTATTTTTGTTTGTATGCAGATTTTTGAGGATATTCACATGAAGGGAAACACTCATGTACTGTTTTATACACAACGCCTCATTCGTTATGAAGACTCAAAACTCTCAAAGAGGAACAGTTCATAGAGATTAACAGAGGAAGAGATATTCAAAGAGTGCAAACTGTGTGTGTGTGTGTGTGTGTGTGTTCTCACAGCCCGGCGAGAAGGGATCCCCTGAGGGAGAGAGAGAAACGGAGCGAGAGAGGAACCACTTGTCTTTTGCCCGACACCTCCACACACACCATCACACACACCTGGGTATGAGCTACAACCTGATGTCAGGACAGTACGACATCTACCAAGGTACGGCGCCACTCTGAGCACAAGACGCGCCGGACTGAAACCGGCAACAGCCGATTCAGCTCACTGCTTCATATTCCACATTTGAATAATGTGGAGATAATTGACCTACTTACATACAGAATACTCTGTGAAAACTCTGTAAACCCAAAATAGTTACTTTAAGTTTTTAATGGTCTAAGTTCTAATTATGCAGCAGAATTTTACCTGCTGTCAGCATCATCGGGGGCGGCAGTAGCTGTCAGTCTGTAGGGACTTGAGTTAGAACCGGAGGGTCACCGGTTCAAGTCCCGGTGCAGATCAAATCAGTTAATTTGCATTACTAGTTATATTTCCTATAGGAGAAACACTGAAGGAGAGTTTCTATTTGATGTGATGTTGAACCGCTCTTTCTGTTCTCCTTCTTCTCTGTGTTAAAGGTTTGAGCTCCAGGTCGCTGGTCTCCAGTCAGCAGGTGTCAGGACACTCCTCTACAGGTGAGACTGCTGTTTATATCAGACTGTGATAATCTGAGCTTTACATTTGTTCCTTTGGTTACAATTAAATTGAAGGCTGGGCCCAAGTTCAACACGCTGAACTCAGGAGCTGGTTTTAAGGGTTTTTTATTGTTCCAAAACAAAGCAGTAAAAGGTGGATAATGTGGCAGGTGGGCAGGCTGGTAGGAAAAAAAAAAAGAGACAAAGACTTTCAAAAAACTCTTGACGAAACATGGTCTTAATGTCACATTTTAAAAACGCCTTTGAATGATTCACATAATGGATGAATAGAGAGAAGCTTCAAGGTTTGACAGCGTTGTCAAATTATGTATGACAATCAGATGGAGACGTTTTCTTAAATGACAAATACAACATGCAATGCTCCACTCACATGTGTGCACCTCTATAGAACTAAACCATGACACACACACACACACACACACACACACACACACACACACACACACACACACACACACACACACACACACACACACACACACACACACACACACACACACTGATAAATTAGCCCCAGTCCTCGTCTCGTTGGCTCTGTGATTTTCTTTTCAATCTCTTAAATGATTTGTCTCGTCTGAGCTGAATATTTTCTCCACCTCTCGGATCAGCCTCACAGATTATCCACTAAATTTGCATTTTATGAATTGAATTGGCAAAATTTTCCTTTCATGAGATGCAAACTGGGAGCAGAATGAGCCGGAGGCTCGTCTGGTCTGCAGATCAGCCGTCTGCTGGATCAATAAATGAATACAAGTCTAACCCTTCTCTCCTGAGACATGCGGCTCTCTGATATTTCTGCATTTTCATCCATGGAATCATTATCTCATCTGCATTGTTTTCACATGTTTGTAAAGTCCACATGTCTCTGCCTTTGTTTGAAACAATGCAGAATGAACCTGACAGACAGTTTAAAGCTGATTTACAGGACAGACGCTGACAGAGGCAGTGACAGGAACAACCGGACTTTAAATGCAGGGTTTGTTGTTATCAAAAACTAGCATTCCCTCAGTCACTTACATGAACGAGCGCCGTGGCTCCAGAAGCGGACCTCAGCTCATCGTTTGCATTGAGTAGAAACTGCGTCGTCTCATGTCTCATTCAGCGCTAAGTTAACTCATTCCCCACCTCCTCTCTCTCTCTCTCTCTCTCTCTCTCTCTGATTTCTCTGTCTGCTGTCTTGTGGTTAATTAAAGGCACAAAATGCACAAAAGTAAACCTTAAAAAAAAGATAGAAGAAGCATATCATTGGCAATGCATTGTGGGATGTGTAGTTTGGTGGCTCCGGAAGCAAATTATGCACACAATCTTGCACCATTGCCTTTTTCTGAGTTTTTCAATGGTGTTACATTTTTTATAGTCACAATATTGGGGTAGCTGGTTGTCATGGTTACAGGCTTCAGTCTCTTGATATAAAGAGTTTGTGAAATGTCAATGGAGAATCTGAACGGGGAAATTTACGAGAAAACATGAGAGGTCACTGTTGAGCTCTAATCGTGATCCTGAACACCTGCTGTCTTTTTTAAAGAGTTTGTGCTTTTTGATTCTATCGATGGCTCAGTGTCCATCGAGTGTTTTCATCTGAGCGTCAGCGTCTTTTTACAGTTCTTTTCAATGAGCAGAAAGCTTTCTCAGCAGAAAGCAACCGCCTGGAGAAAAAAGCACAGCATCTTTTTTTACAAGCGCTCCTCCACTTTTGTGCAGCCGCTCCGAGCGCTCAAGTTAGAAATATTTCAACTTTTCAGAAAGGCGCTGTTGACATCACTGGCGCTCTTTTCCAGATGTATGATATTCCCCGTAGTTTTGCAGCCTAAGGATTGCGTCTTATATCAATATCCTCTCTGCTCCACATCTGATTGGGAAATAAACGATTTAAAAATTAAAAAAACATGCTGTAAAAAGTAACAGAGCAGTGTCGGTCATACAGCGGGCGAATATCAACAGACTGTTGCCATAGAGACAGGACTGATGAGCAACGCGTCATGCAAGTGCTCCCGACTCCCAAACCGACAGCCAGCGCTTTTCTGCCTGGAGAAAACGCTAGGTGGAAACAGGGTCTTAGTCTGAAGCTCATCTCTTCTTGTATGAAGTTTTGAGTGTAGTTCCTCTGTTTGACGTCTGATATGTGAATTTCTGTTTCATGTTTTTGTCTCCACAGACAGCGAAGGGAAGAAGTAGGACCATGTGACCACGTCTCACATGAGGAACGGCCGATCTATCAGACATCAATTCCATGGTGTTGAATAAGCTTCGCCTCGCTGAGAGGCAGAGAACTGAAATAAAATAAAAAATAAAAACCTCTTTCATTTCTTACTAATGATCACCACCCTGTTTTATAAGACGTCTTGGAGGAGCGGACGGGCAGAAAGCAGGAGGACGATCTGTACAAATCCACATCTCAGACTCTTAAAGCTTTTGTTGCAGGAGTTTGACAGAAGCAGGAAGCACTCAGCCGAGCCGCGCTGAGGGGTTCAGTTTATAAAATGCACATATATGGAAGTGTAAAATGATGATGTGACTGAATGTACTGATGACGACTTACTTTATCCCAATAGTGTTGCTCATTTTTTAAAGACTCCTGTTGGGAAGCAGCATTAGGAAGCTACAAAGTCTATTATTCTCCTTATTGTCCTCCTGATTATTGAAGTGCTCCTCCTCCCTCCATAGTGCTGACGCTACATTTGTATTACTAACCTGTACTTGAGCGTAACCATGTTGATTGTATTGTCTTTATGTGAGAGTAAACCTTCACATCGACCTGCCCTGTGCCATGTAGAAGCCCAGTGCTGTAAATATTCTGTACAGATTCATGGCAGAGCACTAACATGCTTTCTATGTCGACGTCCATCAGCCAAGCGTGGGAGCAGCGGCCAGGGCGGGGAAAAAAAAACCTGCAGGAACCAGAACAAATAATCCTAAACCAGCTAAATCCAGTTCAGCAGTTTAACGTTCATACACGTGTTACAGAGATGTTAGCTAGGTTGCATGCATGATGTTTTTGCACACATTCCTGAGTGCGTCATTTTTAGATGTAACGCCGAGGACAGACTACGATGGTCACTTTGACAGATTAGGCGATCACAGAGCCATAAAGTCGGGCTGTTACTTAAACGGCAGACATGACAGACGTGATGACATTGGAAGGAATATGGGCGGGGCTAGACGACACCCTGAAAGAAGTCCAAAGCTGTTGATGCCAGGGACCGACAAACTTTTCCTCTGTCTCATAGTTCCGTTGCGTGGATCAAAACTTCATCGCTCTTCTTTTGCTTCGCCATTTTGTTGTGACTGTTGCGGTGCAGAGCGCTCTGTGCTCTCATTGGTCAACATTACTGACACTGACACAACACACTGCCGGACGGCGTCCTGCCTGTTGATAGTTAACGTACTCAACTGTGAAATGACTATTTAAAGGTGCTTTAAGAGGCTAAATTTGCGTTGCATGACTGTCAACATTTGTGTATATTCTTAGTCAAATCGAACAGAAGAATGAAAGATAAGAATTGAATCCACGATCATCAGCTGAGATTTTAAATGTCATAATGCTGCTGAAATCAGAGGTACAAACTGGGGCTCATTGATTTCAAACAAAACTTGTTCTGGTTCAGATAGAAGTGATTGTACCCGACCTAAAAAGCCTCTGCATGTTTCTAATAAGCTCCACGAGCAGAAACGTGCTCAAACTAGGATCAATATTGGAGATGCTTTTGAAAAATGGAGAGAGGTTAGAACACAGAAAGGTTTACAGACCGATGCAGAGCTGGATAAACACTGAAGCTTCAGAGTCCACCACATGGTGACCTGCATGAGCATCGACTCTAGAGAGAGCTGTCTCCAGGGGAGACAGTTTAGAATTTGGACTGCAGTACCCATTTTAAACACTAGGGTTCAGAGTTACATATTGCTCCTTTAAGATGGGATGGGCTTCTATTTAAAGTTTTACGGTATAAGATGAGTAATGTTAACTCAACTTAAAAAGATACGTCTCGTAGTGATGCAGAAGTTTAGGAGAAACTCCGACGTCAGACCTCCCACAATCCTTTGCGCTGCCCCTGCTCCCATGCAACCTACACGCTAACTAGCTCAGTGCAGAGCCCCTGATAGACCAAAGGGTCTGGTTTTTAAAATGTTGATGCCACACCATCATCGACAAAAACAAGGAACATGTGGAAACAGAATTGAGATGATTGGACAGATTTCTCACCATGACAAAGTCCTGGGACATTTAAACCAGTGGTTCTCAACTGTTCTCGCCTCAAGACCCACCACCCACTCCTTCATGAAAAATCAGGACCCAAATTTCTGATATTTTTCAACCAATCACATTTTATTAAAATTACAAAAGAAGAATGTTTACACTAAATATCTAAATTAATTAAAAATCGACTAAACTTATGTTATGTATGTTTTGTTGTTGAGTACTTGCATTACTCAAATATTTCCAACAGTTATCAAAGCCAGAGAAATCCTTCATTTTATAGTTGCGGTCGCAGTGGCCGCCATGACAGAAACAACATGTTTATCATTGCCGTGGAAACACGGGACGTTACATCAAAGACCGCTGCATAAAGAAGCGTGAGCTGCTACTGAAAGCTGCCGTACTGTTGCTGTATGTTCTGCTGTTATGTAGATTATATACTCGGATACATTAGCTCGTCTGAAAACATAATCTCTTTCTCAGGTCGGTTTCACCCGATCGTCATGACTACGGTCAACTTATAGCTTTTTTTTTTTCGGGGCTTGGGGGGTTCGGTGAGTAGCAGAGGGAATCACTCCCATGATTCCCCACCAGAGTCTATGTCATATTTTGTTGTTGTTTTCATTGAGAGCCCCCTGGTGGCGGGATTTATATGCGGTGCGTTTAATGAAAAATGGTGGAGCTTGGACCTCGGACGGTCCCACTGAAAACGGCCTTGTGGCCCTCTTTTGGGTGCTGACTCACTAGTTGAGAACTACTGATTTAAACCATCGATAAGTCAAGTCAGTTTGGCTACTGTTTCCTGTTTTTGAATGACACTTTTTGTCTTTGGTGAAAATAGTTTGGGAAGGATAAATCAGAGTTGAATTTGCTACAATCGTTCAAATTAAGTTACATCTTTTATCTCTCAAAGTCACAAAGTTTGGGCTTCACATTCCGTGTTTCGCTGAGCTGATATGTCTGAAATAACCATCTTCTAACCCTTAAACACTGTTCTTATTCAACACCTTCATGACCAGGAATTACCTCATAACCTGTGACTGTACTAACCTCTGAACTACAGATCTATTCAGAATGTGTAAATACCTTATCTGACATTAATAAATGGATGATTAATGCCGACTCAGTGTTTCAGAGAGCAGGGACAGTGTGTAGAGTTTCACACTCTCGCTAAAACTACATTTTTCTTGATTTGATACAGGTCAAATTCGACTCAGAACAGCCTCAATGCACGGAAATGTGTAGAACATGTAGGCCCAGAAAATAATTAAAAATGGAATTTGTGTGAATTTTGGGTCCCTGTAGGACAAGGCATCAAATGTTTCTAACTACAACAACAACATGTGTGTTTTTACTGATGTCAAATATCAGATTTGATCCGAACAGTGATGCGGAGAGCGCTCAAATTCTTACTTGAAGGATTTCCATTTTGTTTGCAGAATGCAGCACTATGAATTGTTCATGTAAAGTACAAACTCTCTGTCCACGCGACCCCGTCCTCGTCTATCAGCGGCTCTGCCTCACCTGCACAACACCTCACCTGCATATAGTATCAGTGATCGTTCTATTACTTGAATATAGTGCTATGAACTCTGTTTACAAAACGCTGTCATCTTCTGGGAGACACAGTGTTGTCTTATAAAGGCTGCTCGGTTTGTTCAGTTTATCCACACACACACATACACACACACATACACACACACACACACACACACACACACACACACACACACACACACACCAGCTGTATCCAGTTAATAACACACTGAAACCGTATAAACATTCAAAACCTGCTGTTGCTTTTTTATACTGTATATGCCTTAATTCATATGTTTGGCAATCATGATTAAAGGATGTTTATATATATAAATATATCTTCTTTTCTGAGTCTGTGGAGTTTTGTGTCTTTATATGGGACACCAAACACGTACATGTTCAGCTGCTGCATTGATGCATTTTGGTGGTGCAGTGGTTAGTGCTGTCCCCTCACAGCAAGGAGGTTCCTGGTTTGAATCCCCGTCTGACAGGAGCCTCTTTGTTTGGAGTTTGCATGTTCTCCCCATGCATGTGTGGGTTCTCTCTGGGTACACCGGCTTCCTCCCACAGTCTAAAGATGTGCTCGTTTGGTTAACTGGTGACTCTAAATTGTCCGTAGGTGTGAATGTGAGTGTGGCTGGTTGTCTGTCTCTACATGTCAGCCCTGTGAACAGTCCAGGGTGTAATCCCGCCTCTCACCCAATGACAGCTGGGATCGGCTTCAGCCCCCAAAAGGTAAAAAGCGGTATAAATAATGGATGGATGTTCAAGCATGTTATGATAACACTATGAAGGTTTACTCAACAAATCAGAAAGTTTTGGTACCAAAGAATTAAAAGGTTACAAAAAACAGCCTCTCTGCATTAAATATAAAATGTGAATATATTGATTCAAACTTTTAAAATATTAAATTGCAATTCATCACGTTTTTAATCGCTTGTTTGATATTCCATTATTTTGCATTTAAAAATAAAAATTGTTAGGTTTTTATTTTGATTAGTGATACAATAAAATGCAGAGTTACCCTTTTAAGAATGATGGATATTTTAGAATTGAATCACAAATGTTGATGAATCCGTAATAATTGTATTCATTCACATAAAGTTTTCTTGGTGGGCGTGTTGCCTTTAATGGATGAAGGGACAACTGAAGAGCGACAGGAAATTTCTGGAGGAGAGAGTGTGGGATAACATGCAGCAAAGCGCCAATGTCAGATTGAAACCCACGGCGACTGCGATGAGGACTGCAGCCTGTATACATAGGGCGTATGACATAAACCCTAGTCTATTTTGCACCCCAATCTGTAAATTATGTAAAAGCTAAAGCAGTTATAGTGGGCTTATTTGAAATAGTGTGCTTTATCTATGGTTAATACTGTATGTTTTTTATTTATTTAAATCTAGAAAAAAATTAATGTTTTATAAAGTTCTTATTTGCATAACCTGAGGAAATAATTTGCAAGGCCATAACTATTTATTTTTTATTTTTTGCGAAAGATAATATTTGGTGTATCCAATGTAAATATTTCATAATGCCATGCGATGAGAAGTTAGATATTTTATATATTTTGAACAAATCAATTGATTTTATCCATTGGCAATGGCAGAAATATTGTAATATACTCTCATCAGACAGTATTTTTTAAGTCAATGCCGTGCAGTTCCACCTCCCACCAGCAGGCGGCGCAAAACACTGACGCGTCTCCGTCATCACTTCCGCTTCTAACACAAAAATGGGTGGCGCCAAAGCTTGACAACAAAGCGGCTGATCGCTCCCCGCAACGGACAGCCAGCGTCCGAGTGATTTAAAAACAACAGGATCTACTGAAGCTGTATGTCCTATGAATATGTTCTGAATCAAGCGAAGGAGAAGAGAAGAGTTTATCCGCTGGAATAAAGAGTTTAGAAGTTACAAATGTCATCATGGCGGCGAAAACAGACCAACTGCTGATCGTTGTGTCCATCCTGGAAGGTGAGCAGATTATTACCTGTTTAACTTTATATCAACAAAGATAACACTTTATATCAACAAAGATAACACTTTATATCAACAAAGACAACACTTTATATCAACAAAGACAACACTTTATATCAACAAAGATAACACAGGCGGTGTTAAATTCACATAAAAGTACTTATTTTATTACTGACAGAACCAGTAAACATCTGTTAACTCACTAGTGTCGTATTTAAAATCAGCCTGTTGCTGCCGACCTGAAGTAGAGTTCATTTATTTATTTAACATTTAATTTAAAGTTTTGAAGTTAAAACCCTCAGACAGTTTGAGTTACTTCCCTCTGACGTCATTAAGGACGAAAATGTCAACTTCCAAAAAACTCCTAAAAACAGAACAGATTAATATTATTTCAACATCTTCAGCTCTGATCAAAACTGTAAAACATTCAGTGATTTTTAGGATTTTAACCCTTTAGATTTTTCTTTTAATGAAAATATCCCTGAAATGATTTTGGTAGTGTTGAGGAGGGCAGAAGCTGTTGGCAGCAGCAGCCCCCCCCCCCCTCAGACCCTCAGGAGGGGACTTGTTGTCACTTGCATGTGAGAGGGAGGGGCCACCAACCCTTCAATCCTCCAATCAAGAATATGTTTAAACTGTGACAGAGCCGATGACAGCTTGATATTGTAAAGTTACATGTTGTAGATGTTGCCATACCAGACATGTCGATATAATACTCATCAAAATCAAGATACCTTTTTCGATACCATGGCAACAAATGTAGACGTCAAAGGCACTTAGTTAAGGGGCAGTTCATAGTTAATGGCCAAAGGATGCAGTCCTCCAAACTGTCTAAATTGCACAAATCCAACTTGCTTGTGCAATTTAGACAGTTTGCAGAGTTTTCTCGCAATTTTTGATGGATTTTTTTTATTCCTCATTGATTACTCTATTGTAAGCAGTAAATATGCATCATCAGGATATTCTGTGATGTGCTAAAGCTTCAGTTGGACAACACATCTACAGTCAACTTGTAAAATCTTTTGTGAGTTGAACTCACAGAGATGAAGTGGCTTCAGATTGTAAATGTTCTAGTCATCGTTCCAGCAGCTTCTCTGTAAACACTTGGAAGTTCACTCGTCTTTCCTCCCCTAGGTCGTCACTTTCCAAAGAACCCGCGGCTCAGTCTGATGGTCCAGGCGAGCTTCGATGGCGAGCAGCTGGCCACAGACCCAGTGGAGCACAGAGAGCAGCCGCAGTTCAGCACCGAGCTGGCCTGGGAGCTGGACCGCAGGACGCTGCACCAACACAGGTCTGTCTGCAGCTTCCACACGTGTTTACTGTCAGCTGAACATGTCCCTCCCTCTAACTTTACATTCTGGTCCTGAATTCTCTGGATTCAAGGCACCCCCACACAACGGTTTTGGATTCCCCCCCGGTTTGCCAGATGGTTTTTAAATAGTTTGCTGTGTCATCATTGTGAGGTTTTATGACCGTTTCTTCCCCTCAGGCTGCAGAGAACTCCCATCAAGCTTCAGTGTTTTGCGATCGACTCTGTGAGTAGGAGGAGAGAGAGCGTGGGCTACATCGTGCTGGACCTCCGATCTGTGCAGGAGGTCAAACAGGTAAACATCTCCACCTCCTCCCATCTTTTACTCTCAGTGTTATCGTGTTTGTGTTGACTGCGACCAGCTAAATGCAATCTGAGGAAGGCCTGACATGAGAGTGTCAATGTGTGTGTGTGTGTGTGTGTCTCAGGAGCCGCGCTGGTACCCTCTGCTGAGCAGTAAATACACCAAACAGAGGCCGGCCCTCCTGCTCAGCATGCTGCTGGAGAAGGACACCAAACCGTCCGAACCCTCTCCTGATAGGTTCAAAGCCAAGAAGGCCCCGCCCCGACAAGGTCAGCTGCTTCTTCTGTGCCGTTTGATTTCATGTTCTGCTCTCTCTTCTACGTATTTCTCTTCTTTCTGTAGAAACATCAATCTCACATTAGAACTTCAACGGACACATCTAAAATATTATTTTATGATAATTTGAATTAAAAGCCAAACTTCTCAGGTTTTAGTGTCTTTAATCTTGATAATAAGAACTACAATAATAGTTCTGTGCTGTTCTGGTTAAGTGTTATGATTCTGTGTTAGCATGTTTAGTGTGTTTAAATGTAACACTAAGTACACGATCATTATCAGACGCTTCCTGCTCTGATAAAAGGACGAGCAGAAGTTAACTTTAAAATCTGTTTACATTTTCCAAAACTCCTTTTTTTTTTTCAACCTAATGTTACTGGATTCTGTGTTTTACAACGTATAACTGACACTCGTTTGGTCATTTCTTACATTCGGTGTGTTGGAAATGGTGGAAGGATTTGAAACTGCTCTGCTGAATGAAATGTAGAATAGATGGCGGTGGGATTTCTAGGCTTATTTACATCCACAGTTTCCGGCAGCTCTGCCGCGTTCTCTGCTTGTTTGTGTACAGGAAACCATGGCGACTGACACTGAGCGTGTTATGTTGGAGATGAAGATGATAAATATTGAGCAGCCGTTGATTGGCGTTAACTTGTAGCGTTTCTTCCTTCTGCAGAATATTGACAATGGCGGCAAAACGGGAAACGTTGTAAATGCAGGAAATACAATGCTACCCAGTCGACCAATCACAGGCTGCGTCATTTCAATGCATAGTGACATTTCTGAGCAGGTGCACATCAAAGTATGACTAACGTAGTTTTCTGCATAGATACAGGGCGGTTGAACCTTCGGCTAGTGTTGTACTCGAAATCAGTCTTGGTCTCAAGTCTCGACTACAACACTACCTACTCGATTACATCTGGTTCTTACATGACCTCTTATACCTCCTGGATTTGTTTTTATTGTAAAGAAGGATCTGTTTACCCCCTGATGTTCTGTAAGGTTTAAATCTGTTGTTTGAAATCTTTGTGTTCTGTCGTCGTAGGATCTCCTGCGGTAACTGATCTCCTCCCTGAGCAGCTGGAGGCCACACTGATCCCAGATCAGGGTTACCATCAGGTCGGGCCTGCAGATCTCTGCTCCGACATGTTCGTCCTCTCCGTCACCGTCGCCTTCGCTACCAAACTGGAACAGGTAAACACGTCACCTCTGACCTCTGATTGATAATTCCAGCAACCTGTGATGTGACCAGGATTTGAAGGTTTGTTGTGTCTTCAGGTGATGAAGCTAACATGACAACATAAATAAATCAGATGGATCATATCTGGAGGTTAATGAAAGAAGTTTTCGCTGTCACTAATAATTGCTTTTCGTCAGTTTTCACTTATAATAACAAATTGGATGGGTTTTAAAAAGAAAATCGCTTTTCTGATTTAAATTTGATTCTGATATCGATTCATAAAATCCAAAGATCATTTAATAGGCTATATTTCCTTTCCCCCCATCCATTGAAATCAGTTTGTCTTGTGTATTTCTGTGTCAAGTGATCGCATATCCGGTCTTTGATTGGTCAACAGACCAACACGAGCAAAAAAAAAAAAACATGGCTGTGTTAGCGGTGCGAGCTAACTGAAGTTACACTATATTTTGTACATAAATGAATCGTGGTGGATTACATTTCCACGAGGCTTTAGGAACACAAAACATGTTTCCTTGTTCTCTCAGCTGATCCCCAGCACGATGAAACTGTCTGCAGAGGGCTCCGAGTTCTTCTTCTACTACTCTTTACTCAGTAACGACATCACCAGTGAGCCTTTCCACAACCTGCTGAGCCCAGACTTTGAGCCGGAGCGCGCCTCTGTGCGCATCCGCAGCAGCAAACAGATCCTCCAGGCCTTCCTGTCCCAGCAGCCCGGTTTAGAGGTGAGACGTCAGTGAACATCTCATCATTACTTCTTATCCTCCTATCTGTCCTTATTATTTATCATGTGCTCCTGTTGGTCCTCCTCAGATCCACCTGTGCTGTGGGAATCACTCTCTGGGCAGTACAGACGTCTCTCTCTCCGCTCTGTCCAATGTGTCTGTCGACCTGGAGACTAAGGCGGCGACTGTGGAGGGAGCGTTTATCCTCGTACCTCCAAAACGCATCAAACAGACGCTGCCGGCTCTGCCTGCAGACCTGCAGCCGACTGTAGGGGTCGCTGTTACTCTGAGGAGGGAGGAGGTCAAACCACAGGTACACACTCCTGGGAAAAGGTTTATTTTAGTTATTTCATGAGACTTACTAAATCTTCTTCTTTTTTCTTTTCACCATCAGTCTCCTCACTGCAAAGATAAAATTATAATGTGTTACATTGAGACTAACCTTCGAGAAAGGCACGCCGTTTGACTTGTTACATGACATTGTGAGTGATTCATGCAGCCGGAGAGAGAGTGATAATAGTGCAGAGAGAAAAGGAACAGTCGTGGTTTTTGCTCATACATAACCCAGTTTATTTAACAAAGACAGAAGCTCTCGTGTAGTGTGAGCATCACTTTATACTGACATTTCACCTTCTGTTTTTCTGCAGTCTTTGGGCAGTAAAGAAGCAGGAGGAGGTCAGAAAAAGCCTCCATCACGCCCTCCTCCCTCTGTTCCTCCTGCAGACCAGAGACCTCTGAGCTCCTCTCCACTCAGAAAACCTCCTGCCTCTTCTTCTCCTGCTCCTCCTCTTCCTCCTGCTTCGTCTCACACAGAGAGTGAAGCAGAGAGTCTGTTAGAGGAGCTTCGACACAGAGAAGACCTGGCAGGTGAGGCTGGAAACGTTACACGTCACCTTTAAATCAGACTGACAGAGAGTAAATATTTCATCTTGAATGTTAATGCAGCTGCAGATCTGGAGGCGCCCATGCAGCAGCAGCAGCAGCAGCAGAGTCAGACTGAAGCTGCAGCAGAGGGCGCAGCGTCATCTGTCAGCGTCTCTGCTCCCAAAGTGTCCATCCCCTCCTCCGCCCATCACTTCTGCTTCTCCTGGACCTCCGCAGCCTCAGGAACCTCAGCCTGACTCACCCCATCAACGCCACACTCAGGTAGACCACTTCATCTTCTCTGAGGTTTTGACCTGAATCAACCGAGCAGAGCGTTCTTCTTCTTCTGTTTGTAATCACAGTTTTTACACATATAATGAGAACTGGATCTCAAACGGCTGAAGTCAGGGTCAACACAAAACAACAAACAAATGTCGCTCCTACAATCTGGAGAAAAAAACAAATCCAGATCATCTCCAGGAGCTTGTTTTTTTTTACAAACATTCAGGACAAACTGTTCACAAAAAGATCAAATTAAATCTTTCTGTGAATTACAAGTTTGCAGTGATCTACAGAAACACGTTCTTAGTCTCTAGTAAGCTTTGACAGAGTTGAGAACACACACACACACATCCCGTTGATTCATCAGCAGCGTTCTTAATGTTGTTTATGTGTGTTTGTCGTGTTGCAGATATTCCTATCAGTTCTTTGGCAGTGCAGCGCCGATCATGACGAACCCTCCCGTTGAGCTGCAGAGGAACACAGAGGTTTCTCTGCCTCAGTCGTACTGCGCCTTCGACTTCGCAGCTCTGCCTCAACAGCTACAGGACACCTTCCTCAGGTACACACACACACACACACACACACACACACACACAAAAATGCAGGTGAAACTTTTTATTCATGCTTAAATCGTACACACACGTGGATAGAGTGTCCTGATCTCATCTGACATTAACTGATTTATTAAATAAAAGATTAAACATGATGGGCGCTGGTGGCGCGTGGTTGGTGTGTGTGCCCCATGTGTGGAGTCCTCCAGTCGGGCGGCCCGGGTTCGAGTCCGACCTGTGTCTCCTTTCCTGCATGTCATTCCCCACTCTCTCTCTCCCTGATTTCCGACTCTGATTTCCGCTGTCCTATCTCTGGAATTAGGGCACAAAAAGCCAAAAAATAAATAAAGAAAAGATGAATCAAAATATACTTTATTTAAGCCACGAAATCAGATCAAAGTCGAGGAAAAGATCCAACAGTCGATGAAACAGAAAAACGACTGACTACTAAAAAATGCAACATTTCTTTGTTCACGCTTTATTTTTACGTGTTTTTTTTTCTTCTTGATCTGAATGTTTTGTCTATAAACATCTTTCTAACAAACTTTCTAAGATCGTGTCGACAGCAGACCTGATAGTGGGCAAACCACAGAAGCCTCTGTCTCAATGATTTACTGATAGGACGAGGAAGACGCGAGGAGATACGAGCAGATAAATCACATCCTCTCTTCTGCCAGTTTGAGCCTCAGAGCTCTGGGAGGCGCTAGAGAGTCCCTCATGAAGCTAAATTGTATTTAAGAAGTCATTTTAACCGATTCGGATAAACATCCTTAACCTTACATGACTGATGAGATCTGAACACTGATATGTTTTAATGTGTAGCTGCTCTGCTCTCCAGATTTATTCTACTCTATGAAGTATTATTAAGCTCACTCAACAAAGAGAGTTTCTATGTGTCTCCAGTGGTGGGACAAAGGCGATCCATGTCTGTGAACAGTACAGGTTTTGTTAAATTGTTACAGTTATACTTCACATGGATGTTGTGACGACATCATGTAAAATCCCCTAAGGCCACCAGAGAGCGCTGTAGGACTGTGTATGATCAGTGTGCAGTGTGTTGAAACTGTGCGTGTGTTTTTAGAGTTCCCTTGGTGGTGGAGGTGTGGCACAGAGACTCCACCTGCAGAGACCAGCTGATTGGACGAGCCTCCGTCCAGCTGTCTCACCTGCTGAGGTCGGAGAAGAGCCCAGTGATGGCCTCCACGGGAGAGGAAGGCTGGAGACAGACGCACCAGGACCGGATCCCCGTGGTCACATCTCAGCGGTGAGAAAAGCAGCACTGACTCTCCGACTGATCTGATCCGAGCTGCGTCTTTTTTCAGTGATCAATAAACGTGTTTCCCGTCCTTCAGCCCTGCGGAGAAGGTCGCAGAGCTGAGCTACGTGGCCACTCTGGAGGACCTGGGACTGGTTAGAGCCAGAGAAGTCATCGTGTCCGACTCTTCACAGGTGAGACAGGAGTGTGTGTCTGTGTCTGTGTGTGTGTTAGTTTGATGTTCTGTTTTGTTATTTATTTATTTTTATAAAACATGAGACCACATCTGTCCCATGCATAAAAAAGCTCTTATTTTAAAGGTATAGTATGCAATATTAACAATAGAGGAGTAAGCCTTTAAACCATTCTGAACACTGCACTGAACTGAAGATATAAATGCTTATCAGGTCGTGTCAGGTGTGGGTCTATTACAGAGATATTGGTTATATTAGTTGTAGTTATATCAGTGTTTGTTTTTCCCAATAATCACAGACAGGACATGTTTTATTACAGAACATAAAGTTCAGAAACAAATACTGTCGTCATGCAGTTTGTCCAGCAGAGGGCGCTCTGAGTCCTCTCTGTCAGTCTGCAGCGAAGCGGAGCATCCCAGCTGAGCAACAGTCGTCCACATTATTAATGTCTGTTTGTTTGAATATCAGGGACATATTACTGCTGAATGAAGAACGTTTAGAGATTAATGACAAACTGAAAAACTCCTGACATGTTAATAATTGAACACAGAGAGTATAAACCTTCATACGGCCTAACGTGGAGATATTTTACCCATCTTTATTCTGTTGTCTTCAGAACAAGCCTGCCGTCCCCACACAGCCGCCCCCCCACCCTGCACCACTGAGACCCGCTGCTCCCACACAGAACCTGGCCCCGCTGGACCCCACGGTGGCCCCCAGAGACACCCTGGAGTACCGGACGGCCCTGGAGCTGGAGCTGTGGAAGGAGGAGCAGGAGGATCTGTTTGACGATCAGGTAAACTCAGGACTGAAACATGAGAGTAGGTGAACGTATCTAATGTTTAGTATTTGGACTGCAGTACCCATTTTAAACACTAGGTGTCAGAGTTACATATTGCTCCTTTAAGGGTTTTTTTCCACATTTCTACACTCGCATTGTTTTTTTTTTTTTTTACATCAAAATGACTCAATTTAAAAACGTTTATTCATGCTTTTAGGTTTATAGACTTGCATAAACCTTTAGGTAAGGCTAAACAGATTGTAGGTATATCAAAATAGTTGGCAATAATTCAGGAAATGACTTTACAGTAAGCTAAGCAAAATCACCAATGTAGGCACAGATTAACCGGTTTCTATTGCAGAGACTGAAGGGTTAAACTACTTTGTGTTTATTCTTGTGTTTATGTGTGTGTTTGTTTGTGTTTGTTTCAGTTGAGGAAGAAGGAGCTGAGCCACATGCAGGCTCTGGCCGAGGAGTGGAGGAGGAGAGACAGAGAGAGAGAAGCTCTGGTGAAGAAGAAGGTGGAGAGTGATAAACACATCTCAGTAGATTTACAGCAAAGTTTCCCTCTTCATATAAACTCATGGGACAGTTCAATGTGAGTGTAATAACCTCTGACAGCTCCTGTTTTCTCCTCTCTTTTTGTCCTCCACTTGTCAGGAGGTGGAGTATAACGTGTTGGAGGAGCAGCTTCAGAAGACTCTGAGTGATCTGGAGAGAAGAGAGAAACAGATGGCGGAGGCCGAGCTGGAGGTCAGAGTTACCTTTTTTACTCTTCTGTTGGGGTGCCGACCCGACCCTAAAGGATCTTTATTAGTAACAATGACAATAATACATTTTATTTATAACGCACTTTACATTTGAAGGAAATCTGAAAATGCTACAACTGGAATAAAACGTAAAAGCAAAGGTTTTAGGGAAAGGCTTTTTTAAAGGGAAACCCTTAATAGAGGAGTCCACAGTATGTGGGGTCCTCAGGGGGTCAGGGAGAGGAAGCCATAGACGTGGGGCGGCAGACTAGTAGTAGAAGGCTCTGCCCCCCATAGAGCTGAGCTTAGTCCAGGGGGTTTGGAGGCAGTTGGTGGCGGCAGATCAGAGGCGTCTTGTGCTGGTTTGTGGGGTGAGCAGTTCTTTAAGGTATGGAGGGGCAGTGCCGTGTATGCATTGATGGGCAAGTAATGAGATTTTATATTCGATCCTGAGTGAGACAGGAAGCCAGTGTAGTGAGTGCAGGGTGGGTGTGATGTGTATTAGCCAGAGTTCTGAACATTTTGGTGGCACTGAATCGTGACTCTGTGAAAACTCTGTGAAAAACAGTGAGCTTAACTTCACCACAACAACAGACTGCATGTTGTAGCTGCTACAGGACGGAGCAAATCACATGCTGCATTCAATCAGGAATATTTGTAGTGATCTGCTGTGAGAGGAGAAAGCGAAACATTCTATTCTCCTGCACTAAAATAATGTAATTGTGCTCTATTTCTGTACTGAAGTTTAAATGTATTTACTGCACAGTCAGATTAATAAAATGATCTAAACATCATCCCTCTACTCACTCTACCCTCATGGTGCGTTCAGACTCAGCGGCTGCAGAGGGAGCTGAGGGCCGAACACGATCTGACTCAGAGGGAGCTGCAGGAGAGCAGCAGGAGGCTGCAGCAGGACTTTGACCACCGGGCGGCGCTGGAGAGAGAAAGAGTCCGTCTGATGGAGGAGGAGAGAGGCCGGCTGCTGCAGCAGGTACAGACACACAGACAGAGAGAGAGAGAGAGAGAGAGAGAGAGGAGCTGATACATGATCCCTCTGGTTTAACTCTTGTGTGTGACGTTCAGATTGCAGACGGAGAGAGTCGATACAAACAGCTGGAGAAAGAGTTTCAGCTCTACAGAGAACAACAGAACGTCAGACCGGAGTTCAGACTGCAGTCAGAGATCAACCTGCTCACTCTGGAGAAGGTGATCCGCTCTTCCTACATCCCATGAACACATAACTAATCAGTACTTCTCGTCTCAGGTGTAAAGTTAGAAATCAGAGTTATAGTCGGAGAAAAATCTGCTGAAAGAGGGAATTAAAAAGTTGTTCGCTCTCAATTAAGTGACAGTAAAGTCATTTTCAGTGTGTGTTACTGCAACTGACAGACACCTGAGAACGTAGGCTGGCTGTGCACGGGGTGGGGGGGACTTCTGGTATCAGCTTTGTCTACAACGATAGAGGAGAGAAAATATGCTTACTCGTCTTTTTGAGCGAAAGTTTCCGGGTGTAGAGCTGCTGCTAACACGATTCATTTACATCGTTTTCATGTTTTCTTTGTGAAGTTTCCTCGAATAAAGTAAAATATCAAACACACAGAGACCTGAACTGTCCCTACCGAGGGAAGCAGACGATACATTTTGTAGCCTAGCAACAAAGAGTGCCTGTGAGAAGCACTCTGAACAGAGGTCGTCTAAAAGCGCGCTCTGTTAACAGACACAGACCCTTAATGTGTTCGTCACTAATCGGTCGGTCTCGTGAAGTATTCGGGGATGTCTCGATTGGATCTTAAACATCAGTATTGTGGCTGCTGAAGGAGCTGCTGTCCAGATGTGCGTGACTGATGTTCTTGTTTTCTGATGATTCAGGTGGAGCTGGAGAGGAAGCTGGAGTCCACCACCAAGTCCAAGCTTCACTACAAGCAGCAGTGGGGACGAGCCTTAAAAGAGCTGGCCAGGTTCAAACAGGTACAGGTTATTATTTGATTATTATTATTATTCAGTCCTTTTCAGTGAAGAACAAACATGACTGTGAAAAGGTCTTATATTTGTTATTTTAGATCTTTTAATGGTGCCGTCACAAAGCTCAGCCTTCATCACCTTCTTTGTGCGTTCACAATGATGCCGCTATGGCGTAATATTGGCGTTAGGGCAATAGAAAAGTCTTTAAAAAATCTTCACATGAAGCTTGAACCTTTAATTATAAAATAAGAATCTCCTACATTCAAGTTAAAAAAAGCAGCAAATGAACAAGAAACAAAATCCTAAAGATTTAAAAGATTTAAAAGAAAGAGAAAGGAAAGAAGAGGAAAAAGGAAAAGTCGAGGGATTGAGAAACAGATGTGTTTTTAGATCTGAGTAAAATATTTAGCTCTCTCTCTCTCTCCCTCTCTCTCTCAGCTCTAAGTGGGGCTTTTTGCAGTCTAAGTTTTATGTAAACACACACACACTTTCTTCAAGCTTATCTTAAAAACGAATAACTGTTACTGACGTGAACCAGCTGGAGGACCTGACACACATTTTTACTCTCTTCTCTCTTCTTTGAGCGTCTTTCTGTTCTATTCCCTCTCGTTCCTCCCCGTCTCCCCCGTTCACCACCTTTCAAGTGTTTTCTTTTTTAACAATTCACTTAGCAAAATCTTCTTCTTCTATCCTCTTTTAACTCTCAATCGCTCCCTCTGCTCCCTCCATTATGTTCTCTGTATTTCCTGGTTTATCTTTTCTGACCTTTTCCCCTCATCACTAAGTCCTCCTCGACCTTCGATCTATTAGATCATTTCATAACTCGTGTATTCACCTTTTCCCCCGCCCTTCTCTACCTTCATTAAATTCTGTTTTCCTGTTTTTCTTTCTCTCTATAACCTTTGCACTCTTGTTTTTCCTGCTTCACATTTCATTGCTTTCACTTCATAACTCTCTCGTCTTTGTCCGTCATTGTTGACTGTTTTCACTCTTTTTCTTCTCTCTCTCTCTTAGTGCCACATCCTTGTTAAGAAAACACGCTGTGATTTATTTCACTCTGAGGGGGTTCGTCTCTGAGTCCCCCCCCCCGTCTATTAATCATCCCTTGGATTGTGTTGAGCAATGAGCTAGCCAGGCGCTAACTGCTCAGACGTCTCACTCTCGCTCTTTTTTATAAAACATCAGGCGAGTGTTTACACGAGCGTCCGTCTCGGCGCTCTGCGGGTTTTAAAGCCGGCTCTTGTTTGGTTTTTCTCGGCCTCTCCTCACCTCTTTATTCTCTCCTCTCAGCGCCTCGCATGGCGTGCTGTTTAGCCCAAGTCGGATCATAAAAATTCTTGTCTTTGGAATAATGTGCTTTTTATCCCTGGAGGTGAAGGCAAGCCCGAGGCCGAGTGAGAATTAATGTCCACATCAGAGAGTGGGACTCGCTCTTTTCCATTCAAAATATTGAGACAAGGAGCTTAAGTTGGTCTTTTCAAAGCGAAAATATTGGGACAAAGAGATTAAAGTCGTGAGTGGAGCAGCTGAATGTGGTGTTTTTAAAGCCCCAGTGGAAAATCTCTCTGCTAAATGTGGCTCTTTAGTCGCTCCATGATTCAGCAGAGAACTCAACGTTGTCGTTTTTTTACAGTCTGTGAAGAAAAAACAGATTTCATTAACGTCTGAGCAGGAAATCTGAATGTGTGAACACAAACAGCTGAATTTTTCGCTCGGATTTTCTCCTGTCACACTTGTAGTACTTTATCCTCAGCAAGGCCGAGTGGGCTGATGTGAGAACGCCTCAGGATATTCTCCGGAGAATTCACCTCCAGCCAATAGGAAGGGGAGTGACGATTCTATACTCAATCAAAAGAGGGCTCTGCAAGGTTTATTTACTGAACAGTGTTCCACTTTGTCGCTTTGTAGCACAGCGTGCAACACACAATTAATCGGGATGACATTTTCAATCGTGTCACCTTGCGTGTAGTGTGTGATGGCGAGGGATGCACTAGTGGTAACGACGGCACGTGTCAGCATATTGTCGGTCGCACTGCTGTATGAGACGCAGAAAATGAATGAAAAAATAGGATTTAAATGTGCGTCTGATGCACCAGATTTTGGGGATATTTTAGTCTGCGCACTGTTTCTTTAAGAAGTTTTCTGTTGGGAAATGGTTATGAAACTTTTGTATGAAATCTTGAAATCAAGACGGGCGGGGAGTTCTGGAGACACACTTTAACAGAAAACACAAGAGCCCGAGTTTAGACGGGTGGTTTTTGAGGAGGGAGAAGTTGTTTTTAAATTTCTTAAAGCTCTAAATTATGATGTAATCCAGAAAACACCCCAAAGACGGATAAGTAATAAAGTCTGCGAAATATGTCAACTGTGAAACACGGTATGACTAAAGCAGGCCATGCTGACCGGTGGTTCTGTTCAGACCTTTCACCTCCGTGCTGACCCGGGAGTCGGCGCTCTCGTTGCTCATTTAGTCGGTTGAAAAACACCCACGCTGTCAGAGTTTGGGGTTTAGTTCCCTGAGGAGCTTCCAGACTAAAACTGTCGTCTCTCATGAAGATGTTTGTGTAAAACTGTCCGTCACAGGGAAAGAACGCGTCGAGCGAGGGATCGTCAGTGTTACTGGTCTCAGTGGAGAGCGTCTGATGGTTCCCACTGCTCATTCCTGGAATATTCTGGAGCTCCAGACGGGAATTCATGGAATATTACACAAAAGTTCAAAACAGTTATTTGTTTGTTTTTTCTGAGCCAATACGACGGAAAAAATGGAGCAAGTCCACAGACTGTGAAGTTCACCAAGAGGCAGAAAAAAATATTTTGAGTCTTCGAGAAAGAAGTCTGTTAACTGATCCGGTGTAGAAGAAGCACTTTCTATACCGGCTGCATCCTACATACCTGTACGACCAATATATCTGTTGAAAATGCTGAGACACAGTCATGTTCACGTCATTACCCCACGTGCAGCTGCCATCGTCTCACAATACAAGCAGCCTGGCACCAGTGGAAATTCCCCCCCATTCATCGTGTATTACAAGAAACCAGTTCACTGCTCAAGCATGCTGAGATACAAAACGAAAGTTGATCCAGGAGACGTTGGCCCTGTTTACAAGACAAGGATTTCTTGCCTTTATTGGATTGAACAGCTGAAGACAGACAGTAAATATTGGGAGGAGAGTGTGTGGGGGTGGATGACATGCAGCAAAGGGCAGAGGTCGGATTCGAACATACGGCCGCTACAATAAGGACTGTAGCCTCCACAACATGGAGCATGCGTCAAAACCGCTAGGCTATCTGGTGCCCCAACCACAAGGTTTGGAAAACAGAACTGTCCCTGTTGTCGTGTAAACTGGCAACATGCAGTTTCTCTAAAAACGGAGACTTCTCACACATGTTCATTACACTTCCAGTCAACATTCATGGGAAACTGAAGCTGCAATACCAGATTCGGCCACTATGCTAAATTGGCTTCAATTGCCGGAGCACCTCCTGGGGGCTTGGTCTGTCCACACAAATGTTGTTGCGTTAGTCATTTTTATACGTTTACCTCTCATCGCTCTGTAGAAGGAGAGTTTGTGCACATGCATGTGTGGTTTCCAACTACTGGCCTGGCATGTTTACTACAGCATCATTGGTCGATTCTGCACGGCAGTTATCAAAAGGTTGTCACCTGAACGCAGAAAACAGAAACAAAACATGATCCTGTTTTCAGTGAACATGGCCCTGAACTGTCCTGAGTGGTGAGCCGTCTTGGCTTTCTGCGTTTATTTTCCGTGTGTTCGTTAGCTGTCAGATGTTGAAGCATGGGAGTTTTAATTTTGGAGGACTGCCCTTAGGTTATGATACCCTCGTAAAAAGAACAGCTTTATCTTAGTATTATATTTTAAAGTATGAAACTGAAAGAGCACCACAGTGAGTTATGTGTCTGTGAGGTTCATGTTAAAGCCGTGTTCGGACCAGAGCAGCTCTCTCTCTATCTCAGATAAACACTCCACATTGTTACACTCCCGTGTGTCTTATCTCTCACTTATCACTTTAAAAACCCGACGGAGAAGCCTGAAAACACGGACCCTAACGTCCCTAACACAACACATACAATCCTGCTGTGGAGATATTTCACCCTGAGAGGAGACGAGCTAATCTTGTTGAAGGTGGAGTCGGGGATCGGCTGAGAGCGGCCAGCTGAAGAGATATTTAAGAAGCTGAAACTTCTCAATGGGATCTAGTCTCAAAAGAAGTTTAACGATCATTAACAGTCTCTGTTGGACATGCACGATACTTACCGATGTACAGTTATTAAATGAATCCAATTATAAGTTGATAATGACTGATGTTTTAAAAATAACTTAATGGCCGTCATGAGAAGAGTTAGAAAACAGGATCTGTAAGACTCATTTACTCTTTTCCTCTTCACATAATGTCATAATTCACTTTACATCGGAGCATGAAAACTCTCTCAGGTGTGGAGCTTCCTCCGCTCCAGTCGGTCCGCCTCTTTACACTAAACAGACATTTTATAATTTTCCATATTTTCCCATGATTCGAGCCGTTTCGGAAACTCATTTTTCTCCACTGAGACTCCCAGTGGTCCCTGTTCCCCTTCATGTTTTATCCATCACATCCCCCCAAAAAAAACCCTCGTTCAGTCGGTGAAAAAAAACTCCCTGCTGAACTTCCCCAGGTGGAGAGCCGCTCAGAAAACTTGATGTGAGCTGAGAAGTGCGTCCACGTGTGAGCGATGATGAAAGTGTTTGTGCGAGACGTCCTCCCCCAGCTGTTGACCTCTGTAAGTCTGTAAGTGAAGGAGAGTAATGGAGGGGAAGGCAGGGGGGGGGGGGGAGAGAGGGAGAGAGAGAGACGGGGGAGGAGAAGTCAATCTGAGGTCATCCATCCCCCCCAAAAAATAAACCCCCGGACTGACTTGAAACTCCACTCAGCTCGTTTAGACTTCCTCGCTGGTCTGCCGTCGTCTCTCAGAAGCTCACAGTTTGTCTACTTTTGCATTATTTTCATCATCTGTTTGAAGTTGAACGATTGAGGAGCGACGAGGTTGATGTCGTCTTCTGAATAAGTCTGCGGAGGAGGAGCTCTGTTGTGTGTCGTTTGTGCGTTGAAAGCTCATTAGAAGCGTCTCGTGAACTCGCCGATGTCTGCCCATGTTTCCGAAGGCCGGTTGACACCAACAAAGAACGAGCTGCGACAGAAACTGACTGCTGCGTCGTGTTTTTGTCCGCTGCTGTCAGGACCAAAAAGTCGCAGCGTTCACACCGAACTGAGAGCAGCCGACTCCAAATCAGCGTATATACAACCAGCAGCGTTTATACCCTCTTTATAATTTCTCTTCTGAACGTGTTGGTCATTGCCTCGACTTGAGAAAATGTCAGAAGATAAGGAGACGGTAACGGCGTTTCTAGAGGAGAGACTTCTGTCCGTACCCTCTTGACTCGTTTGTTTTCTTTCATCACTTTCATTTCTCTTCTCATGCCTCGAGTCGTTGACCGAGAGCTGAATCGAGAAAAGTTTCCCCATAACCACCTCTAACCATGTCATCTCAGGCGTCCTGTATGTTGGGATGTACGTTAGAAAATAAATCCACTAAAGGACGCTGTCTCTCACGGCCTGCCACTTCACCTTCGCTGCCCTCCAACTGGCTCACGGTTCCTGCCCGATCTCCGCCCAGACGTTGTGTTGTGGTTGGCTGTCTGAGCCCGGGCGAACTGACATCATGGATTTTTATAGTCCCTAACCAACTCACACAATCTTTCCTCAAAAGTATTCTTCTTCGTTGGTAATTGCCCGTCTGGCTCATTCTGCTCCACACTGCCCCCACGGTTTCCAGTGGTATTGCAGCTTTTGGTCCGTGTCCACAAGCTTTCAGAAACAGGATGAAATGATGACAGTGACTGGCAGAAGGCTTTGTCAGTATCTGAATGCTGATTGGACGTGGAGAATAAATGAGCCTGTAGTCTGTTTCTGGACTGAACGTGACAGGAAAATGTAGGTCGTGGTTACGTTGGCGGAGGTTTCCATGATTGATGATTTAAGACGATCAATGACCCCAGACAACGTTTGTGATGGTCTCTTACGTTATTTAGCGCCGTCATCGTGTGCCCGATACACATTTTAAAAACCAAGAGTAAACGAGTTCAACTCTTACAAGAGCTGAAAATAAAGACCTCCAGAGCCGTACGTACAAAAAAACAAACCCGCTGGAACCTTCACAAGTAACTGAACAGATGTCTTCCTCTGATCGTGTTAGCTTTAGCTGCTGGGAGCTTCATGATGTAACTGTGAAACTCTGCTGCAGGAGAGTTTTTGTAGCTTTTCTCTCTCTCTCTCCCCCGTCGAGGCCTCGGTATCACCTCGTCCTCTAATTGTTTCAGGACTCGGCCTCAGGTTGTCCTTGGCAGTGGCCACTAGAGAAAATGTTTAGCATGTTTGTTTTTCTAGTAATTAGCCTTTAAACGGCCTGTAATACAGACTGCTAATGGTCCACAGAGAGCTCGGCCTGTGTCAACACACCGCCCGTGTGTGTGTGTGTGTGTGTGTGTGTGTGTGAATGATGTGTTCATGAGAGATTGTGTGTGTGTGTGTGTTCTCGTGTGTGTGTGTTGGAGGTGAGGTGATCAGCCGTGTGAAAATGGAAGCTTTCTGTGTGTGTGTGAGTGGAGCAGTAATGTGAAAATGTTAGTTTTCACATCCAGAATCAGCCGGCTGCTTGTTCTGCTCTGCGTCAGCCCAACGCACTCGGACAGATTTCAGCTTCTCCATTCACCTTCTCACTCCTGCAGGCTGCAGAGTGGCAGGTTTTCTTCCTTAGTCCATGTTAGCAAAGGGTCTAAAGGACGCTGGAATCAGCCAACCAGTCGCTCAGTTCATCCAAGTTTTGTTTGTTGATAAGAAACATGAACATAAAAAAGGAGATTTTTTGTGTTTTAAAATAAGAAACATATTTGTGGGATTTAATGTCTAATAACTAGAAAAAAAAATTGTTATAGCTTCTGTTGATTTCTTCTTCCTGACACAGGGAAATGTAGTTCTGATGTGTAATTTTTTTATTTTTTGCATCTGAGCCAAATCAGAGTAAAGAACTCAAAGTTGTTGCTAGTCTAAGGCTGGTTTCATATCGGGGACCCGGGTCAGGAGTACCCAGTAAGTACGCTTGACCCCAAAGTCCGGTTCATTTGATCAGTGTGAACACAAACCAAACGTACTCGTACCGTACTCAGGAACTTTGCACGAGTCCGCTTGAAGAGGACTGTATGGTTTACGATTCATGTGTGCTCGCGTACGGTGTGCATAAGTCCGCTTGAAGCTCCCCCTGCTTCAAAAACTGTTGTATCGGCGCAGCACGGCCCGTTTCCTCCTCTCAGCTGCACGCTAGATGTGGACGTAGGAAGAGGGTCGTTTTTGGCGTCTCAGAAATAACAGAAACATCCACAGTTTGCAGGACGGACTCAGGCTGCGAGTGGTTGCCATGGTTGCTTCTTCTTCTTTTAGCTTCTTGGTGAATTTGCAAACCAACTAATGTGTATACCGCCCCCTGCTGTATCGGAGTACATACACATAAACGTACCATGGTACAGAGTGATGTCACTAATGTGAACGCTGAGCGGTGAGGGGTGTGTAGTCAACCGTTATGTAAATATTTATGTATCATAAAAGAAACCAACCAATCCAGGCGAAGGTAGACAAACAACTCCTCTAGAAAAGAAGATGGTTCAGAAAGTTAAGAAAAGCTCTGACTCTGCAGGGATCCTTCCTGTCATGTTGTCAGACACTCATAACAATCTGAGCAACAACTTCTACTGGATGTGATTTGATTTGATTGGATGCTGTGAAAAATCCAGCTGCAGTCACATCAACCTGTTTGAAAGGTGCCAGAAGACTCAGTTCACTGGGTCAGAACCAGAACACCTCTAAGTTAACTCTTTGTTTGTTCAAACTGGACTCAGGTTTGAGAACCAGAATTTCCCTTTGAGGCCGATCTTCCCAGCAGGTTGTTGAATGAAAACTCTGAACCTTTAAATGGAACTCGTTAAGATTTCTAATCACAGATGAGTGTTTTTGTTTTCCCTCCTCAGACTGTGTCTGTGATTTATGATTATCGTCCCGCTGTTCGCCAGCAGACGACACACACATCTGTATTCTGGGTGATTTTAGGAAGTCTGAGCCGATCAGAGCTGGAGGTCGGTCGGAGCAGCGGAGAGAAATACGACTTTTGGACGTTTTTATGAAGTTTTCTTTTTTGTTCTCATCATGTCGGTGCGTCGACGCTCGTGTGAATTCTTCGGCTCCTGCAGCATTTTTCTCAGGGAAGTTTTATGAAAATGTGAAGCCAGACACATTTATCACCCAGCTCCGCTCTGTGTAATGAGGAAAAATAGTTTCTTGGCATGGAGATCCAGACACATTTCAGCGCCGGGGTCAGAGGCTTGTTTTCAAATGTTTGAGTCCAGATCAGATCAGCTGACGAGTCAGGCGTGTTAGAAACCACTGAGAGCGACCTCGAGGCGATGCTTTACTTTTAAAGAAAGCTCTTCAGATTGAATTAAAGGAAGCTGCTCTGTATTAACAACTTGATTTTCTATCTTGTGTGTTTTTTGTGTTTGCAGCGTGAGCAGGAAAACGCCATGACGCGTCTGAAGAAGCAGCAGGCGGAGCTCGAGGCCATGAGGCTGCGTTACCTAGCAACAGAGCAGAAGGAGGCGGTCCAACAGGACAGACAGGAGCTGGACGACATCAGGAACGAGCTCAACAGGTGATGAAGATCAGGATCAGGTTCCCTGGGTTCACTTTAAATTCCGTCTTTTCTTATCCTCTAATTAATGTAATCTGGTAAAACCCGGTTGTTTCAGATATAAAAAAAAAGTTTTGTCATTTTCTTTGGCAGGTTAAAACAGCAGGAGGACAGATTAGGCCCCACCTCCTCCCTCTCTGGCCCTGCCCCCTCCCTCTCTGGCCCCGCCCCCTCCCAGACTGTGAATGAGAGCGCTGATGAGCACCTGGCTCGCCTGCTGGAGGAGAGAGACACTCTGCTGAGGACCGGAGTCTACACGCACGAAGACCGAATCATCGCTGAGCTCAACAGGCAGATACAGGAAGCCATGAGGGACAGAAACCTCTGACAACCGCTGGAACCCGACCGACCAATCAAGAGACAGACACACACCTGAGACCTCAGGAACCTCCATCCTGTTTGAAAATCAACGTGTGCGTTTAAGAACAAAATTCAAGCAAAAAATCTATTTCCTGTTAGAAACAAAAAAATTGTGTGCATTAAATCTAAGACAAAGCTGATAGCGGCATTTTCTCGTGCCGTTAGGCCCCCTAGTCCACCTAACGTTTTTTCCAGGCAGCATGGAGCTGTACGTCTGCTCGTCTGTCCTGTCTCTATGACAACAGTCTCGATGACAACAGTCAGTTGACAACGGCCGCTGTTTGACCGACACACATTTGGAAAAGAGCGCCGGTGACGTCAACAGCGTCTTTCTGAAACGTTGAAAGATCTTAAACTCTGAACAGCCGAACAAAAGACACTAGGTGGACACGCCTTCTGTTTTTTTAGTCCTTAAAACATAAATGTTGGATCAGGTGGGCGTGGCTTTACAGAACGTAGCTATGAAGGCGTTTCCAACTGTATTTATGATAAAACGTGATATTCTTCTGTGAACCATGATGGAGAGTAATCTGAACATGAAGACTGTGAGGGATGAAGTGTACAGATGTAAATGTGTTTATAGAGCGGACAGCTGT